ACAACAACTGAAACAACCACTGATGAGACCACCACAACCGAAGTCACCACTACAACTGAAGAGTCCACTACCACCGAAACGACGACTCCGACGGTGACAACAACTGAAACAACCACTGATGAGACCACCACAACCGAAGTCACCACTACAACTGAAGAGTCCACTACCACCGAAACGACGACTCCGACGGTGACAACAACTGAAACAACCACTGATGAGACCACCACAACCGAAGTCACCACTACAACTGAAGAGTCCACTACCACCGAAACGACGACGGTCCGACGGTGACAACAACTGAAACAACCACCGATGAGACCACCACAACCGAAGTCACCACTACAACTGAAGAGTCCACTACCACCGAAACGACGACTCCGACGGTGACAACAACTGAAACAACCACTGATGATACCACCACAACCGAAGTCACCACTACAACTGAAGAGTCCACTACCACCGAAACGACGACCACCACAACCGAAGTCACCACTACAACTGAAGAGTCCACTACCACCGAAACGACGACTCCGACGGTGACAACAACTGAAACAACCACTGATGAGACCACCACAACCGAAGTCACCACTACAACTGAAGTGTCCACTACCACCGAAACGACGACTCCGACGGTGACAACAACTGAAACAACCACTGATGAGACCACCACAACCGAAGTCACCACTACAACTGAAGAGTCGACTACCACCGAAACTACGACTCCGACGGTGACAACAACTGAAACAACCACCGATGAAACCACCACAACCGAAGTCACCACTACAACTGAAGAGTCCACTACCACCGAAACGACGACTCCGACGGTGACAACAACTGAAACAACCACTGATGAGACCACCACAACCGAAGTCACCACTACAACTGAAGAGTCCACTACCACCGAAACGACGACTCCGACGGTGACAACAACTGAAACAACCACTGATGAGACCACCACAACCGAAGTCACCACTACAACTGAAGAGTCCACTACCACCGAAACGACGACTCCGACGGTGACAACAACTGAAACAACCACTGATGACACCACCACAACCGAAGTCACCACTACAACTGAAGAGTCCACTACCACCGAAACGACGACTCCGACGGTGACAACAACTGATGAGACCACCACAACCGAAGTCACCACTACAACTGAAGAGTCCACTACCACCGAAACGACGACTCCGACGGTGACAACAACTGAAACAACCACTGATGAGACCACCACAACCGAAGTCACCACTACAACTGAAGAGTCCACTACCACCGAAACGACGACTCCGACGGTGACAACAACTGAAACAACCACCGATGAGACCACCACAACCGAAGTCACCACTACAACTGAAGAGTCCACTACCACCGAAACGACGACTCCGACGGTGACAACAACTGAAACAACCACTGATGAGACCACCACAACCGAAGTCACCACTACAACTGAAGAGTCCACTACCACCGAAACGACGACTCCGACGGTGACAACAACTGAAACAACCACTGATGAGACCACCACAACCGAAGTCACCACTACAACTGAAGAGTCCACTACCACCGAAACGACGACTCCGACGGTGACAACAACTGAAACAACCACTGATGAGACCACCACAACCGAAGTCACCACTACAACTGAAGAGTCCACTACCACCGAAACGACGACTCCGACGGTGACAACAACTGAAACAACCACTGATGAGACCACCACAACCGAAGTCACCACTACAACTGAAGAGTCCACTACCACCGAAACGACGACTCCGACGGTGACAACAACTGAAACAACCACTGATGAGACCACCACAACCGAAGTCACCACTACAACTGAAGAGTCCACTACCACCGAAACGACGACTCCGACGGTGACAACAACTGAAACAACCACTGATGAGACCACCACAACCGAAGTCACCACTACAACTGAAGAGTCCACTACCACCGAAACGACGACTCCGACGGTGACAACAACTGAAACAACCACTGATGAGACCACCACAACCGAAGTCACCACTACAACTGAAGAGTCCACTACCACCGAAACGACGACTCCGACGGTGACAACAACTGAAACAACCACTGATGAGACCACCACAACCGAAGTCACCACTACAACTGAAGAGTCCACTACCACCGAAACGACGACTCCGACGGTGACAACAACAACCACTGATGAGACCACCACAACCGAAGTCACCACTACAACTGAAGAGTCCACTACCACCGAAACGACGACTCCGACGGTGACAACAACTGAAACAACCACTGATGATACCACCACAACCGAAGTCACCACTACAACTGAAGAGTCCACTACCACCGAAACGACGACTCCGACGGTGACAACAACTGAAACAACCACTGATGAGACCACCACAACCGAAGTCACCACTACAACTGAAGAGTCCACTACCACCGAAACGACGACTCCGACGGTGACAACAACTGAAACAACCACTGATGAGACCACCACAACCGAAGTCACCACTACAACTGAAGAGTCCACTACCACCGAAACGACGACTCCGACGGTGACAACAACTGAAACAACCACTGATGAGACCACCACAACCGAAGTCACCACTACAACTGAAGAGTCCTACCACCGAAACGACGACTCCGACGACTCCGACGGTGACAACAACTGAAACAACCACTGATGAGACCACCACAACCGAAGTCACCACTACAACTGAAGAGTCCACTACCACCGAAACGACGACTCCGACGGTGACAACAACTGAAACAACCACTGATGAGACCACCACAACCGAAGTCACCACTACAACTGAAGAGTCCACTACCACCGAAACGACGACTCCGACGGTGACAACAACTGAAACAACCACTGATGAGACCACCACAACCGAAGTCACCACTACAACTGAAGAGTCCACTACCACCGAAACGACGACTCCGACGGTGACAACAACTGAAACAACCACTGATGAGACCACCACAACCGAAGTCACCACTACAACTGAAGAGTCCACTACCACCGAAACGACGACTCCGACGGTGACAACAACTGAAACAACCACTGATGAGACCACCACAACCGAAGTCACCACTACAACTGAAGAGTCCACTACCACCGAAACGACGACTCCGACGGTGACAACAACTGAAACAACCACTGATGAGACCACCACAACCGAAGTCACCACTACAACTGAAGAGTCCACTACCACCGAAACTACCACTCCGACGGTGACAACAACTGAAACAACCACTGATGAGACCACCACAACCGAAGTCACCACTACAACTGAAGAGTCCACTACCACCGAAACGACGACTCCGACGGTGACAACAACTGAAACAACCACTGATGAGACCACCACAACCGAAGTCACCACTACAACTGAAGAGTCCACTACCACCGAAACGACGACTCCAACTGTGACAACAACTGAAACAACCACTGATGAGACCACCACAACCGAAGTCACCACTACAACTGAAGAGTCCACTACCACCGAAACGACGACTCCGACTGTAACAACAACTGAAACAACCACTGATGAGACCACCACAACCGAAGTCACCACTACAACTGAAGAGTCCACTACCACCGAAACGACGACTCCGACGGTGACAACAACTGAAACAACCACTGATGAGACCACCACAACCGAAGTCACCACTACAACTGAAGAGTCCACTACCACCGAAACGACGACTCCGACGGTGACAACAACTGAAACAACCACTGATGAGACCACCACAACCGAAGTCACCACTACAACTGAAGAGTCCACTACCACCGAAACGACGACTCCGACGGTGACAACAACTGAAACAACCACTGATGAGACCACCACAACCGAAGTCACCACTACAACTGAAGAGTCCACTACCACCGAAACGACGACTCCGACGGTGACAACAACTGAAACAACCACTGATGAGACCACCACAACCGAAGTCACCACTACAACTGAAGAGTCCACTACCACCGAAACGACGACTCCGACGGTGACAACAACTGAAACAACCACTGATGAGACCACCACAACCGAAGTCACCACTACAACTGAAGAGTCCACTACCACCGAAACGACGACTCCGACAGTGACAACAACTGAAACAACCACTGATGAGACCACCACAACCGAAGTCACCACTACAACTGAAGAGTCGACTACCACCGAACCGGTGACAACAACTGAAACAACCACTGATGAGACCACCACAACCGAAGTCACCACTACAACTGAAGAGTCCACTACCACCGAAACGACGACTCCGACGGTGACAACAACTGAAACAACCACTGATGAGACCACCACAACCGAAGTCACCACTACAACTGAAGAGTCCACTACCACCGAAACGACGACTCCGACGGTGACAACAACTGAAACAACCACTGATGAGACCACCACAACCGAAGTCACCACTACAACTGAAGAGTCCACTACCACCGAAACGACGACTCCGACGGTGACAACAACTGAAACAACCACTGATGAGACCACCACAACCGAAGTCACCACTACAACTGAAGAGTCCACTACCACCGAAACGACGACTCCGACGGTGACAACAACTGAAACAACCACTGATGAGACCACCACAACCGAAGTCACCACTACAACTGAAGAGTCCACTACCACCGAAACGACGACTCCGACGGTGACAACAACTGAAACAACCACTGATGAGACCACCACAACCGAAGTCACCACTACAACTGAAGAGTCCACTACCACCGAAACGACGACTCCGACGGTGACAACAACTGAAACAACCACTGATGAGACCACCCCAACCGACGTCACTACTACAACTGAAGAGTCCACTACCACACGCAACGAGGTGTCCGTAGGTGAGAAGTACTGAAACCAGAACTGATGAGACCACCACAACCGAAGTCACCACTACAACTGAAGAGTCACGACGACGACTCCGACGGTGACAACAACTGAAACAACCACTGATGAGACCACCACAACCGAAGTCACCACTACAACTGAAGAGTCCACTACCACCGAAACGACGACTCCGACGGTGACAACAACTGAAACAACCACTGATGAGACCACCACAACCGAAGTCACCACTACAACTGAAACGACGACTCCGACGGTGACAACAACTGAAACAACCACTGATGAGACCACCACAACCGAAGTCACCACTACCAAGAGTCCGAAACGACGACTCCGACGGTGACAACAACTGAAACAACCACTGATGAGACCACCACAACCGAAGTCACCACTACAACTGAAGAGTCCACTACCACCGAAACGACGACTCCGACGGTGACAACAACTGAAACAACCACTGATGAGACCACCACAACCGAAGTCACCACTACAACTGAAGAGTCCACTACCACCGAAACGACGAGTCCGACGGTGAGCACAACTGAAACGAAAACACAACAGACAAATAAAGATTAACACACCACTACAACTGAAGAGTCCACTACCACCGAAACGACGACTCCGACGGTGATGAGACCACCACAACCGAAGTCACCACTACAACTGAAGAGTCCACTACCACCGAAACGACGACTCCGACGGTGACAACAACTGAAACAACCACTGATGAGACCACCACAACCGAAGTCACCACTACAACTGAAGAGTCCACTACCACCGAAACGACGACTCAGACGGTGACAACAACTGAAACAACCACTGATGAGACCACCACACAACCGAAGTCACCACTACAACTGAAGAGTCCACTACCACCGAAACGACGACTCCGACGGTGACAACAACTGAAACAACCACTGATGAGACCACCACAACCGAAGTCACCACTACAACTGAAGAGTCCACTACCACCGAAACGACGACTCCGACGGTGACAACAACTGAAACAACCACTGATGAGACCACCACAACCGAAGTCACCACTACAACTGAAGAGTCCACTACCACCGAAACGACGACTCCGACGGTGACAACAACTGAAACAACCACTGATGAGACCACCACAACCGAAGTCACCACTACAACTGAAGAGTCCACTACCACCGAAACGACGACTCCGACGGTGACAACAACTGAAACAACCACTGATGAGACCACCACAACCGAAGTCACCACTACAACTGAAGAGTCCACTACCACCGAAACGACGACTCCGACGGTGACAACAACTGAAACAACCACTGATGAGACCACCACAACCGAAGTCACAACTACAACTGAAGAGTCCACTACCACCGAAACGACGACTCCGACGGTGACAACAACTGAAACAACCACTGATGAGACCACCACAACCGAAGTCACCACTACAACTGAAGAGTCCACTACCACCGAAACGACGACTCCGACGGTGACAACAACTGAAACAACCACTGATGAGACCACCACAACCGAAGTCACCACTACAACTGAAGAGTCCACTACCACCGAAACGACGACTCCGACGGTGACAACAACTGAAACAACCACTGATGAGACCACCACAACCGAAGTCACCACTACAACTGAAGAGTCCACTACCACCGAAACGACGACTCCGACGGTGACAACAACTGAAACAACCACTGATGAGACCACCACAACCGAAGTCACCACTACAACTGAAGAGTCCACTACCACCGAAACTACGACTCCGACGGTGACAACAACTGAAACAACCACTGATGAGACCACCACAACCGAAGTCACCACTACAACTGAAGAGTCCACTACCACCGAAACGACGACTCCGACTGTAACAACAACTGAAACAACCACTGATGAGACCACCACAACCGAAGCCACTACAGCTGATATTACTACCGCTATATCCACTACTCCAGGTATTTCGGTTAGTAAACTGATATTATTATGTCTTTTATTTTCATCCGACTACCGTGAATAAAAAAGATGTGTGTATATTGTATATTTTGACTGATATCTGTTTATGTTATGCAGTATCACACTTATTGCCTAATGTTTGGTCGGCCCATACTCTTCTTTTCACAACTCTTTCACATCATTCAGGTTATTTGTCTAATTTGTTTACTATCACCGTTAATTAGTCTTTGAAACAGAGTGCTTGCATACCTACGCGAAATGGAAAATAAGCCTACATTCAAAAGGAAACTTTATTATTATACTCTGAGGCAATGAGCGTAGTATAAAATAAAAAAAACAACAGTCACTTACGCTGTTGTTGTTTTTTAATTTATGCTATGTATTTTCTTGTTATACCATACTATCTATATATAATCGTAGTAATATTAAATTTGAAGTGGCCAATGTGTTATTTTGATTTATGACCTATATTACTGTAAAGTTTCATTAAAATCCATTTAGCATTTTTTGCTTAAAGAAGTAACAAACATTCATCAATCGAAACCTCTATCCATACTAACAAGCTTTCGCGTATATAACAATAATAAGATTCTTCAGTGATGTTTTGTCTAGGGTTATTATAATTTTCACCTACTTCTTAGTTCTCAGTTAAGATTAGCTAATTATATTGGTATAGATAATGTAACCAAAATTTCTCTTGCAGCCTGATGACATAATAGATCAAATTATAGAGGATATACTTGACATTTTGGAAAACGAGGATGTCCCGGTCTATGTGGATACTATCACTGACGCCTTTGATCAGGTAATAACTATACAGTATTGAGTAACTGTACAAGTGTACATACCTCAGTTTCTTTCGGCTACCAAGCGTGTTACTTTATAAGATGTGTTTCGGTTCTAGATACAGATGAAATTGCAGGGTAAGAGAGACATTCTTGATTGAAATTAATTTATCAACTGTTCGGAAGTATTCCTATTTGTTTCTTGGTCATACTTGGTTTGTAGGATATAGTTTTGGGAGGACATGTCTAGGATGAGTTTGCGCGTGAGTGGGACAGCTATACAAATTAAAATGCACGCGTATTTTTCTATAATATTGGATCTGAATTCTTATCTGTGATATTGGAAATTGATGATGCACGAATGAGATAGCGCATTTACGTGAGCGAAACGTAAATTTAAGTTTATATGTTAAATCTATATCTGTATGTATACTAATATTATAAAGAGGAAAGATTTGTATTGTAGTGTGTATGTTTGTAATGAATATGCTCCGAAACTACTTGACCGATTTAAAAAATTCTTTCACCATTAGGAAGCTACACTATCCCTGAGTAACATAGGCTATATTATATCTCCAAAAAAATTAGGGATCCTTACTAAAACTTTATTAATGTAACCTAAGGAGCAATAATATTACATAAAAATACCTAACACCGCGTGGGCTGCATAAAGTATTGATGATAGAACAAAATGATTTACAACGACTTTATATAATACATTATTATTTAAAAAAATTGTCACGACGGCATGTGTCCAACTATTATAGTTATGTCACAATAAGTGTTCTTTTAATTTACAAATTTAATTAAAATGCCGGCGCTAGAGTAAGCCCTTTTGGTATATAAATAAAATTGGAGTGTCTCTATGTAATATTGAAAAAAAACCGTTTTTTACTACATACATGCATAAATACGGTACATACACCAAAATAATATTTTCTACAATTTTTGTCTGTCTGTCTGTTTGTTCCGGCTAATCTCTGAAGTGGCTGGACCGATTTTGACGGGACTATTTTTGGCAGGTAGCTAATGTAATAATGAGTAACTTGCCTAAGGTACTCCTTTTACTTTTATTTGAAAAATAATGTTAAAAAAAATACGGAAAATACGATAATATAATAACAATTCCTTCTCAATAAAATATATTACAATATTAATTAATATTTCAACGAAGATTTATAGTTATACTAGTTTTAATACAGACCTAGTATAGTTTAATACAAACTCCATGAGGGATTTTCTCCAAGTAAAAAAAAAAATACATAATTTACATTTATTATATATTGTATAGGAGACATTTTTGAAATTTGAATTATAATATTATGAGGTCCTGTTGTATATGAATATATACATATATATATATGTATATATAATATAGGTATGTTGTGTCATATTGTTATGCACTTTGAGGCCGTCACAAAAAATTGTAATAATTCAACCACACTCTGTATGCATGTGCTTTATATTTTTGTGATACTGCAATAAATAAATATAATAAAATAAAAAATAAAATATAGGTAAAAAATAACGAAAAAAGATATGTGTACCTATATCGTGATATTTGTTACCATACAGAAGTTAGATATAGGTACACATATCTTTTTTCGTTTCGAAACGGCTTTACCGATTTTTAGGAAATTTTGTGTGCACATCGGGTAGGTCAGAAAATCAGCCAACGTCTATTTTTCGTACACCTCAATGATAAGGGTGCCATAGATATTTTTTTTTATTATGATTTAACATAGAAAAATACATACACTCTAAAATTCTCACTCTTCTACCACCAACTCCTATTTTTAATAGCGATATTAATTTATATGGCAAAACAACGTTTGCTGGGTCAACTAGTAGTGTTTTTTTTTTCAAGGTGAACGACCTTCTCGATATGGAAGAGGACGTTACCTTCCCACCGGAAATGCTGGATATCTTGGACACGTTGGGATCCCGAATAGATCTGAATGGTGCCCTGAACGATACAATAGTACGTGATAATTTGGCTCTACTGATGGCAGACGCCTCCCCAGATAACCCTGTTAGGGGCTTGAGACTAACTGCAGGAGGAGAAGGTAGAACGAGAAACTCATTTTCTAAGGACACTTTCGAATTTCTCTCTGGTGAGTGATTTATTATAGCACTTATTAAGTTTAACTATATGATGTGACGCGAAGCGGGTATTTTTTTGTGTAATTGAAATTGCATACAAGCTGACGGCCCGCCTGATGGTAAGCGGTAACCGTCGCCTTTACACATGAACAGCTCAACGGACATCAAGTTATTATGTGATAGCCGTGTTACTTAGCACGGGTGTACATGTATTATATATATATAAACCTTCCTCTTGAATCACTATATATTAAAGAAACCGCTTCAAAATCCGTTGTGTAGTTTTGAAGAATTAAGCATACATAGGGACGGACAGACAGCGACTTTGTTTTATACTATGTAATGATGTGTGTTGCCATTCTACAGGACTAAAATGTTGTAATAATAATAATATACTTTGATAATTCACGCAGCGCCAGTTGTTATTATTTATTTATTTATTTATTTATTCATTTCAATATTACAACACCATATACCATTATAGCCTTGGACATAACATATTAGATGTTCTCGGTGGTATAGTGGTATGGGACATCTCTTCTCTTCTGAAGATTGCGGGTTTGATTCCTCGAATTCAAATTTAAATTAAAAAAACGGTTATGCACGTGGGAAAATGTTCTACATGAATAAATGATTTTTTAATTTGTCGCTTATGAACGTCATATTTTTTATAATTTTTTTTTCCTCGCAAGGTGTAATTTTTTTTTGAATAACTATGATTGTTTGTAGCGGTCGGGGTGTTCTTTGTATAAATTATGTATATATTTACAAAAATATTTAAGTTTCGATTCCTCGTACGGTGTAATCAATTGTATGAATGACTATAATTGTTTGTATCGGTCTGGTTGTTTTCTATATATACAATGTATATATTTACAAACAAAATGTATTTATGTAAGTTGTTTAGTACCCAACATAAGCTCTGCTTATCTTGGGACTGGATGGCGCTGTGTGAATTGTCCTGAGATATTATAGTAGTGATAATTTTTTTTCAGATGACGATCCTGATCATTTGAATGCTGATGCAAGCGATGCTGTAGTGCATTTACCAGAGTCTGTAGCGACATCTACAAGGCGTATTAGTTTTGTTGTCTTCCGTGATGACCAAGCGTTTGCCAACACTAATTCTCGATTAGCTGTCAACAGCCGAGTGATCAGTGTTAATGTAGAGAACTTGACACAGTTCGATAACGACGAGGTATATATTTTCTTTTCTTTTCATTTAATTTATAAGTTTCTTTCAAGTCCGCCATTACAAAAGTTCAAGAATGACGTCAAGTTAAGAATAGAATAGAATAGAAAATAGTTTATTCAAATAAACTTACATTGAAGCACTTTTGAATAGTCATCACATTTTTTTTAATCTACCGCTCATTCGGGAAGCTGTCTCATCACAAGAAGAACGAGCTAGAAACTTGCGTGTTGCCCTTTTAAATAATTTTATTCTTACTTTACATTTTTAAGTTTAAGTGTATGAATACAAACTACCAATTAGCACTAATTCAATTAAATACTCAGATAGAAAAAAATATTAAGTATACAACCAACTGGTTAAACAATTAATAAGAGGAAATCGGTCATAGTGATTAGAGCAGACCAGTCCCTACAAGCAGCATCCGTTCGCGAGTATGACGGATGAGCCAGCCATCACTGCGCTCGTCCATATTTTAGGGAGCCCAATGACCCGTTATTTCATATATACCTATAAAATAATAATAATAAAATTCTGTGTAAATATAGACATTATAAAATATAATTGATAGACAACATTTGCTACACGACACGTATGTCTTAAAAAAGTAGAACAACTTTCTTTAGCTGAAATCCTTAATATGACAGCGAGGTTCAGAATATCATTTTTATTTTATATATTTTTATACAGCCTTCTGTCTTATTATACAACCCTCTGTCTTTCGACTTTACCCAAAGGTTGCCTGGTACAGTTTGCATGCATGATAAGATGTTATATATATATTTTAATTCACTAGGAAAATAATGCAGTAATATATCCTACAAAACCAACGATTTAAATAAATATATACAGTTACCAGATACTCGCCCCGGCTTCGCACGGGTGTACATGTGTTTTACATATAAACCTTCCTCTTGAATCACTCTACCTATTAAAAAAAACAGCTTCAAAATCCTTTGCGTAGTTTTAAAGATTTAATCATACATAGGGACGGACAGAGAGCGACAGCGACTTTATTTTTACTATATAAGAATACACATTTACTTTGTCTTCTATTTATATTTCCCTATTTCTTATATTACATTTCATATCTTTATCTATTATGATTCCTGTAATATAAATCTGGTACAATAAATCGTTAATAAATGAAATAAATAAACAAAATTAAGCAGACGAAGTTCCTTAAACATTCTCTTTCAATATTATTATCTTTATATAATATATAGTTTTTAGGATTTTTAATTTCTAGGTTCTTAGTTGTACAATTAAGTTATGTAAATAAAAAATTATATATGAGAAAAACACCTATTCAAAAGAGCAACACTCGAGTTTCATACTCATTTGTCTTGTGAAGAAACTGCCTTCCGAATGAGTGGTAGAATAAAAAATGTGACTATTCAAAAGTGTTTGTACTGTGTTTATTTTAATAAACATTATTTCTATTTCTATATCAATAAATTGCTTTCCAGGTGGTGAAATTGCATCTGAAGCCTGTTATCGAAACAACAGGCGATATGAACAGATCATGCGTCTTCTGGAACTTAGAAGACGGCAGTGGATACTGGTCAGATAGAGGCTGTAAATTAGTGAAGTCCACAGATCCTGGAGTTCTAGATGCGTGCCATTGCAACCACTTAACACATTTCGCTGAAGTTATAGGTAATTATAGTGTTTTATAATAAAAACAGGCTACTCGCTCCGGCTGCGCACGGGTGTACATGTATTATACATATAAACCTTCCTCTTCAATCACTCTATCTATTAAAAAACCGCTTCAAAATCCGTTGCGTAGTTTTAAAGATTTAAGCGTACATAGGGACGGACAGACAGCGACAGCGACTTTATTTTATAATATGTAGTGAAGAGGTAATTTACAAGTATACTTGTAATTTATTATAGAAAAAAAAACACTCTAACGTTCTTTGTATACAATATAATAATGGGTTTTGGATGTTGTTGGGGCTCCCTCGGTTCTATAGCGCATCAGATATGTTTGGAGTAGTGCGGGTAGCCGCATAATACGAAAACAACTGCATCACTGATGTCTAAAATTCGGTGCAAACAGCATCCTAGCAACTGTTGCAAATATATTAGATTGTCCGCTCCAGAAGCACTAGATATCGTTGCATTGCGAAACCAGTGCTTCTGAGCGTGAGCACAGATATATGAACTAATCTTCGTATATTATAATTGGCTAGCATAGTTTATAAGTTGTTCACTAATACAATATATCCATATTGTATTAGTGTGTAGTAATTCAAATTAAATAAATAAAAAAGTATCTGTGCTCTTTTGTCGCAGCAACAAAAGAGCACAGATTAGAATGCATATGCATACACCAATCTACACTATAATGTATTTGTATTTATATATACTCTTTTGTTTATTGCCAGTACGACTGCCAGTGTTTATGATTATAAAAGTATGGCCATTGACAATAGAACTTTTATACTATTCGAACTCATAATTTAAATTAATTACGGTCTATAAACTAATCATAATAGATCTCAATTAATAAAGTTATTTTAATTAGATGGATGGATTTGATATGAAAACTATACGTCATATTCTATTTTGATATGTAAAGGTAATTGAGTATAGTCATTAAATTTTTGTATCGCTGTGATCTTAGAGATAAGATTAGATTTGTTAACAACATATAGAGCAAATCAAGTTATTTAACTGTCTGTATATCATGATTTCAGTTCTACCACCACCCGATACCACGACCGAGCCGCCAGGTACGAATATGAAAAATTGCATTTATTTATTTATTAATGGGTTTTAATTTATTTTTAAAAATATAGCCTATATGTCATTCTGATGCATAAGCTATATTACTGCAAAGTTTCATCAAAATCCGTTCGGTAGTTTTTGAGTGAAAGAGTAACAAACAACCATTCTCACAAACTTTCTCGTTTATGATATTATTAAGATATACAATTCTCGCGTCACAATTTTAGTTACCATATTCCTCCGAAATGGCTTGACCGATTTTTATGAAATTTTATAGTTAGTATATTTAATAGTTCTGAGATTCGGCTACTATATATTTTTCATTTAAGTGATAAGGGTTGTCCATCCCTAACATTATTTTTTAAATATTTTTATAATGTGGCATTAAAATACATACAACCCTAAATTTTAACCCGTCTACCAGCAACCTCTATTTTTTTAATGGCGATTTTAATTTATAAGGCAAACCTACATTTGCGGCGTCATCTTGTTATATGTATAATTATTTGACGTTGGCATTTCATTGGTACTTATTATTTAATTGCAGAAACATCGACCGGAACAACCAGTGCTACATCTTCACCAGAGGTATAACGAATGTTCATTAAAAATAACATCTAGTATAATAATAATAATCTCAGGACAATTCACACAGCGCCATCTAGACCCAAATTAAGCTAGCTAAAGCTTATGTTATGGGTAGTTAGATAATAGATATATTTTTTTCGTAAATACATACATATAGTAGAAAACACCCAGACCTATACAATCATACTCATGAGTATATATGTTTGCGTCGTGCGAGGAATTGAACCCGCGACCATTGGAAGTAAAGGTGTGCTAAACTACTAGACCACCGAGGCCGTCAATCTCAATATATACATAAATATCGATCGGAAAATCTGTATTTCACCGTATATCATTATTATTAACATTATTGCTGTATATGAGAAAACTGTTACCTTAATTACATTCGTTGTTAATTTAACTTCATTAATCTGAATATTGAATTGTTTATTATTATGTTTCAGCCGGATTTAGAGCAAATTTTAGAAGACCTGGAGAATCTGCTGAATACTACAGACCAAATAGACATCAACCAAGCTGAACCTATATTCGATCAGGTATTTGAAGTTTTAGTCTCAATGAGTATACAATTATTTCGGTTTAAAGTTTGCAATAAGGAAATCTTAAAGCCCAAATATAATGTGCCCAATGTGATATGTTTAAAACGGCCAAAATTTTTTGTATGATCAATTTTTTTCCAAAAATTCTATAAATTAAATTCTAAAGGATTCAATACAGATATATCGTACATTTTGAAGAAAGCAATTCTTTAATACATTAAATAGAGGGATAACGTGAACTAATTATTCTATCGATGTCAATATAGTCCTCCACGCAGTCCCCTCTGGAAATCACTGTGATTACTTCCCGGTGAATTTATCGCGATGGGCCAACTGATCTCATCTTATCATCCTCAACTGGTGTCCCGCTAGCATAACCCGTTAGCTCATTCAGATGGACCATTCCATAATCATTAAAAATACACTAGATAAAATTTGTAGAACTGCGTTCAATAGTTATTATAATAAAAAAATAAAAATTACTTCTGAGAAAGTTTTAAGGAAGGTGTTACTTATAAATGTGGATGATAAGGAAGAAGCAGATAATGATACTCCAGAGAAAGAACTACGTGCAATACTTACTTTAGTAATAAAATTACAATTTATTTTGTAGATCGATCATCATTTGAGTATTGGAGAAGAAGTATTCCCGAGTAGAATTCTACATCTGCTCGATGTACTTGCATCTAGAATATATGTTGACGACTTTGGAACTGAGAGACTAATAAGAAATAATGTAGCATTGATGGTGGCTGATGCCGATCCCGATTCAAATCCTGTAAGAGGGCTTACAATAGAATCAGAAAACGATGGTTTTATGGGCAAACAGTTGGACTTCTTACGAGGTAGCGTTGATTCAAATATTTTTGTGTTTACATGAAGTGTTTTATTTAGATGACAAAGCATCTTTATCATCTTTATCTTCAATCATATTTTTTTGCTAATAATTAAAATGTCCTTAATTTATTTGATGACCTCGATGGTCTAACGGTTTAGTATACCGTCTTGCTTTGTATAGTTGCGGGTTCGATTCCTTGTACAGTACAAACATTTGTGTTCATAAGTATGATTGTTTGTATTGGACTGGATGTTTCCTATACATATATGTGCATGAATTTGTAAACGAAACGTATTTAAGTATTTATATTTATATAAATTGTAAATTCTACTATCTATAACATTGCCCTGGTTAGCTTTAGACTGTTGTGTGTGAATTGTCCAGGGGTTATTATTATTATAAATACCATACGCTATATGCTTGAATGTGGTCAATACAAATTTAGCGTTGCTATAAATGGATGTAGTGATTTAAAAGAATAAAAAATAAACAATTGGCAAAGATTCGAGAGACATAATTTTATTTACAAAATATTTAAAAGATATATTTTATATTTCATAACTTCTTCATTAGCTAATTAAACTTATAGTAACATTAATGTATTTTATTAACACAGATGAAGTCAACGCAACAATATTAGATTCAGATATACACGAAGTCGTAGTGAATCTGGCACCGTCGCTATTAAATGCACGGAGACATATAAGTTTTGTGGTATTATACAATGGTAACGCCTTCCCCCGTGATGACGTGTTCACCATCAACAGCCGAGTGGTCAGCGTCAATATTGCGGATATACCCCAGACCAGAAATGGAGAGGTAAATTAATTTATTAATAACTTATTTTGTTAACATTTTTAACTTTATTCCAGCTCTGCTCCTGATCGTAGCATAATGATATTTAGCCTGCCTTCCTCGATGAACCGGAGATTACCTAGAATATCAAAACGTACAAACTATACCTTTTTTTATTATTCAAATTCAAATTAAAAATATCTTTATTCAAGTAGGTCTATTACAGACTCTTATAATAAATAAAATCTACAGTTAATTTAAAATGATTTCGAAATTAGAAAACCTGACAAGAAACTCATTTCGTACTCTTTTTAAATAAACTTTGGACATGTTTACAATAATACAGATTCATTTTTAAATTCAAATTTGGGAGAATAGAGTGACAACCAGCTTATGCTATTACAAAAGCTAATAGTCTAATAAGTGTTCGTAACCCGAACAGACTAGACCCCACAAGCACCACCCGCTTACGAATATTAGACCCGTGGGGTAAATCGTATTGATTTCATATAGTGTTACGTATTTAGCCCATGTTGATGTTCTGATGCAATATAAAATCATTTCAATTTATAAAATGCGATAACCGTTCACGAGTATGAGGATGATATTATTTGTATAATAATATATAATAGGTAAAAAGTATTCTATATGTTAATCTAAGATATAACACTTCATTCGAATTTGTGCAGTACTTTTTGTGTGAACAACAAACAGCCATTAATCCTCACAAAATTTTAGCATCTATAATAACTGCGATTTCGTCTTCTCAAACGCTTATCCACTATTTCTCCTAGATTCAGTTTATTTATGAAATTAACAGTGCCCTATATTCATTGTGATGATTGTAATAAGATAAATAGTATCTTCATATCAAATTTTGTTAAGATCTTTCAGTAGTTTAGTCGTGAAAAGATAACAGACAGATTTACAGACATTCGTATTTTTTTTTAATATAAGTCTGCAAATGTGGATTAATAAGATTATCCAATGATATAAAATGTAATTATCGAGGTAACCTTTGTACAAAGTACTGCGTAGGTTGTATGTCTCGCATTTTTGAGCCGCTAAGTAACATGTTTTGTAAGACGTGTTTCGGTCAAAAGGGCAATGCGTTTAGTGGTACCATAGTCATTATATTATAATGTAATGTCCGCGATTGTTCTCTCCTGTTTACATGTTTAGGTGACGGCATCTTACTGACTTCTTTTGATAACATTTTAAATATTTGTAATTCTCTTTTCACAGTTGGTAGACATATATTTGAGTCCTTTGCAACTGCCCGAACAAGACAGAAGGCGATCTTGCGGTTATTGGGAGTATCAAGAGGACAGCACTGGATATTGGTCGCAAGAAGGCTGTACTTTTATTCCATCAGACAACCCAACAGTTTTAGACACATGTAGATGCGATCGTCTTGGACGATTTGCACAAATTGTGATATCGCAACCAACATTTTCTAAATCTAACGAGAATGCATTACAAGCTATTACTCTAACTGGTAGCAGTTTATCTATTATTGGTGCTATATTTATTGTAATTACAGCTTTATTGTTCAGATCATGGAGATCAACTTTCCGCAATCAAGTTTGGGTTCAACTCAGCATTGCGTTATTTATATTATCCGTTTGCTTCATAGTCACTGCTTCTGTAAGATACGTCGAATATAGTGTATCATGTTTACTCACCGGTATATTTATGCATTACTCTGTACTGGCCTCATTTTGTTGGATATTAGTAGTGGCTGTAATAGCATACAGAGACTTAGTTATAATTTCAAGACATGAAAATACGCGAAAGATGATAGTAGCGTCAAGTTTTTCTTGGGGTGTACCTATAATATTAATGATGATATATGCATTAGCAGCTGAAGAACCGTATGCGATGCGTTTTGCAGAAATGTCACCTAGTGGAAGTTTCTGCTATCCGTCGGGACTTGGTTTATGGTTATCAGTATATACACCCATAGGTGTCATATTGTTGGCTAATGTCATTCTGTTCTTCTACATAGTCGGATACATTTCCAGAAGCGTCTATATTCTGAATGAAGAAAATGCTAAGAAAGCCATTAAAAGTTCTCGCATAGGATTTGGCCTTGTCATTCTGTTCAGTTTGGCCTGGGTATTTGGCATTTTCGCTTACAATATTGTCACAGCCTATCTATTTACTATCACAGTCACTATACAATGTTTCATTCTATTTATATTTGTAGTATGTGGTGATAAAGATACGAGAGACCTTTGGCTTCATAAATTGAAATTAAAAAGTTCCACAAACAACTCTCTATACTCTAGACGACTCTCTCCGTCGTTTTAATAAATACTTAATTTAATGATATAATCAATAAATTATATTTAATTATAAATGTACTAAAGTTAACTTATTTATAGAAACATTTATCTACCTTGTTAATAGATCTAAGAAGTAATGTTTGTATAAAAATAAACCAAAATACTGTAAATACGATACGTAGTAATTTAGTTGTAATAAACGTATTTAACTGGTAAATATTTTCAAGAAAGAAGCAAAAAGATCTGCTTTGAAATACGTATAGTATTATTAGAAGTAATCAATAATATACAAATGTAAATAATTGCAGTCATAATAGTTTAAGTGTTAATAATTTTATTATAATTTTTAATTACTTTGAAATATACTGCCATACCTATTTTAATGTGCACAATTTGTATTCTAGAATTACGTTATAAATATCGAAGTAAGCTTGTTATTGTTATTTAATATTTGTTATTTATTTTACAATGTTAATATTTATTTAAATTATATTTCGTTGTTTTTTTGTTATATTAATCAGTATTAAATCATTTTTTATGTAACTTATTCTTACGGTTGGAGCTGAAAGTCAGTGTTTTGTAAGTATATATAGGTAATTTTTATTTAGCAATACACACATGCATTTATTATATTATAATTATTTAGGTTTATTTCTTGTAATTTGTATCTAAATGTTTGTATTGAGATGCAAATTTATATACATATCAATGTTTTCAAATCTTATTATATTTGACTGCTCAGAGATAGAAAAAAATCCAAGAGACTAATACCACAGATAACATAATATTACATACTAATACTATAAGAAAGTAAAGCCATTTTTCTAATTATACGTGTATGGCAACACTTTCGTAATGATTGTGTTGCCATGTTTTTGTATAATTTATCAGGTTGAATAAAGAAACGGTCATAAAGACGCAAGAAGTTATTTAATGAAATTGCAACGAAAGTGGCAAGTCAATAAAAAAATGTTGTAACATATTACAATGATAAATTTGTACGTAATTACAAGAATTGTTATGGTAATCGGTTTATTTTGGAAATGTGTTCTGAATATTGACAAATGCTGTTTAAAACATATCAAAGAATAAAATGATTCAGGTTCAGAAATGAGTCCGTGACCGAATATACATATATTACATATTAAGAAAATGGTTTTTGACATCTTCAATTTATTATTCTCATTGTTTTACCTTTTCATTTCTTTCTATTCTGAAAGTCGATTGTAAATGTTCATATTTTAATCCTATAAATTATAAATATACCGAAGTATATCAACATTTGTTATTATTTAATTCCATTTTTAATGACACTCCTGTTATTAGTTGTTTCTGTTAACTGCATAACAGATTTATTAAATATTGTTGTCAAATGTTTATAGTTATTACAAATACATAGATTTTTTTTGTAAATACATACGTAATATACATAGAAAACATCAAGACCGAAACAAACAATCATACTTATGAATACAAATGTTTGTATCGTGCGAGAAATCGAACCCTCGACCATCGGAAGTAAAGCGAGGCTGTTAAGTTTTAGATTTAATGACGTTAAGAAAGACAACAATAGTCTTTCTTTCACGTACAGACAGTGATTAGTTATATTATCATAATATTATTATTGATACAAAAAAATAAAATGTCTGTCTGTAATTTCAGATTACCAGGTTTTCACTAAATACTACACTAACTACACTAAATACTTATTAAAAAAAATCTTATCGTCTGTTTGTTCTTGCTAATCTCTTAAAGCTAATGTTCTAAGAAGTAACTTAGACTATTTTTATTATAATAAAAAGAAGTTTAATTCCAGTTGGGTGAAATCACGGGTAACAGCTAGATATATACAATAGCTTTTGCCCGCGGCTTCGCTCGCGTTAATTTATGCCCTTAGGGATGGAATTTATCAAAAACCTTTCTTAGGGGATGCCCACGTCATAGTAGCTTTATGCATGCAAAGTCTCAGCCCGATCGGTTTAAAATTGACAAAGTTTCATACAAACTTTCATCCCTTATTTTATCCCCTTGGGGATAGAATTAAACCTACCTATGCCTGCCTATTTCAGCCCGATCCGTCCAGTAGTTTGGGCTGTGCGTTAATAGATCACTATGTCAGTCAGTCACCTTTGAGTTATATATATTTAGATAGTACAATAGCGCAAACTAATTTCATAATAATTTGTCTAATCTTAAGTATTTTAAACCTCATATTTATATTAACGTTATCTACTGTGTATAATATTAATGTCATTGAAATATTAGCACCTATTAATAGACATTAAGATTAGAAGAGTAATCGACACTAGAAGAATACAGTATATTTTTTTTCAACACACTCGTAAATTGGATACAATTTAACCGGTTTTCGGTATATAAAGCAGCTCATAAACCACGTATATGTAGACGCAAATAGTGAAGTTATATGACACTAGCTACTCGCCCCGGCTTCGCACGGGTGGTGTACATGTATCGTACATATAAACATTCCTTTTGAGTCACTCTATTTATTAAAAAACCCGATTTAAAATACATTGTAGTTTTAAAGATTTAAGCATACATAGGGACGGACAGATAGTGACAGCGATTTTGTTTTATACTATGTAATTATAACAGTATTATTTGCTATTTTTTAAATTTCGAACTGACCGTCGCATGACGCTAGCCAGTAGGCAGAAAATGATTTAAAAAAGTAAAACGGCGGGAGAGCAACTGTGTGCATCACAGTTTAATGATGAAGTTTATTTAATAGTGAAGTTATATTCCTTCATATCGGGCTTCTCGACCAAATACTCCAATAGATTACTGCTATTGAGTAAAAACAACATATGCATAATGACTAGGGCACTCACAGGACACTGCAAATTGAACAAGCATATGGCTAAGCTAGGCCTATGCACGACAAGTATCTGCAGATTCTGCCAAACTGAAGAGGAAACGCCGCTTCACATCCTATGTGGTTGTAGCCCACTCATGCATAAACGAAATATCTCCTTTGGAAAGTTTACACTCTTTCCCGAGGAGATAAAAACGATCGCTCCTAAGAATATCCTTCAATTCTTGTCCCTGACGGGTCTAGGTAGCGAACTCTGAAAAGGGCGAGCACAATAGATCTATGTAGGTCGCAGTGCTACAGGTGCTACACATCTGACAATAGCCCAAACAACCCAATAAAAAAAAAAATATATTCCTTACCCGAACTCTTTGCTATTTTTTAAATTTCGAATTGACCGCCGAATGGTGCTAGCCAGTAGGCGGCACGCTGATTTAAAAAAGTAAAACGGCGGGAAAACACCAGTGTGCATCACAGTTTAATAGTGGATTTTATTTAATAGTGATGTTACATTCCATAACCGTACTAATTGCTATTTTTTAAATTTCGAACTGACCGCTGCGCCGCATGGTGCTAGCCAGTAGGCAGCACGCTGTTTTAAAAAAGTAAAACGGCGGGAAAGCAATTGTGTGCATCACAGTTTTATGATGAAGTTTATTTAATAGTGAAGTTATATTCGTTACCCGAACTATTTGCTATTATTTAAATTTCGAATTGACCGCCGAATGGTGCTAGCCAGTAGGCGGCACGCTTATTTAAAAAAGTAAAACGGCGGGAAAACACCAGTGTGCATCACAGTTTAATAGTGGATTTTATTTAATAGTGAAGTTACATACCATAACCGTACTAATTGCTATTTTTTAAATTTCGAACTGACCGCTGCGCCGCATGGTGCTAGCCAGTAGGCAGCACGCTGTTTTAAAAAAGTAAAACGGCGGGAAAACACCAGTGTGCATCCTAGTTTAATAGTGGATTTTATTTAATAGTGAAGTTACATACCATAACCGTACTAATTGCTATTTTTTAAATTTCGAACTGACCGCTGCGCCGCATGGTGCTAGCCAGTAGGCAGCACGCTTTTTTAAAAAAGTAAAACGGCGGGAAAACACCAGTGTGCATCACAGTTTTATAGTGGATTTTATTTAAAAGTGAAGTTATATTCCATAACCGTACTAATTGCTATTTTTTAAATTTCGAACTGACCGCTGCGCCGCATGGTGCTAGCCAGTAGGCGGCACGCTGATTTAAAAAAGTAAAACGGCGGGAAAACACCAGTGTGCATCACAGTTTAATAGTGGATTTTATTGAATATTGATGTTACATTCCATAACCGTACTAATTGCTATTTTTTAAATTTCGAACTGACCGCTGCGCCGCATGGTGCTAGCCAGTAGGCAGCACGCTGTTTTAAAAAAGTAAAACGGCGGGAAAGCAATTGTTAAATTTAGTTTACAATCAATTCTATTTCCACTTTTTATTTCATTATTATAGTAATATAAACAGCAATGTTACTTCAGCAAACAAGCTATATTATTGTAGAGTTTCATTAAAATCGATTTAGTAATTTTTGCATCTAACCCTCCATCCATGTACAATATCATTTAAATAAAAACAAAGAAAGTAAAATATTGAATATAATTTTCCTGCTATTTAGGTTTTGTGTTTTGTATTTCTATAATTTAGATAATAAAAGATATATTTAAATTATTTAATCTTAGATATTTAAATTATCGTATTATCATCGGATCGGAATTAGATTGTTATGACTAATAATTGCATTATATTTTTATGCATAAAATCTTCATTGTGAATTCAACAAATACTTTATTAATTAAAACATATTGTATTTCATTATAAGATACCGCAATCTGAGATCTTATTATTGTAGCGATAAATGTATAACAAACAGTCTAATTTAAATCTAAATTATCTATTCAATCTATTAATTATATTCTTCCGATAAAATTAATTAGATCTTTTAATTAGTTTTAATACGGTAGGAGATAGGAGTGATTAATAGTGGTCTGTCAGTAGTCATTTATAGATTATCCGGATATACTTATTAGTTTTACCTATCTACTAGCTTTTGCCCGCGGCTTCGCTCGCGTTAATTTATCCCCTTAGGGGTGGACTTATCAAAATCCTTTCATAGAGGATGCTTACGTCATAGTAGCTTTACGCATGCAAAGTCTCAGCCCGATCGGTTTAAAATTGACAAAGTTTCATACAAACTTTCATCCCCTATTTTACCCCCTTAGGTGTAGAATTAATCAAAATCCTTTCTTAGCGGATGCCTACATCGTAACATCTACCTGCATGCCAAATTTCAGCCCGATCTGTCCAGTGGTTTGGGCTGTGCGTTGATAGATCACTATGTCACTCACCTTTGAGTTATATATTATTATGTATAGATTAACGAAGCCATTCAAAGGGGGAACGCTGGCAGTATCTTCGGAAATATAGAAAGAGAAGAAGAGAACCTAAAGGGACTCCTTCTAATAATATATTTTAGTTATAATTAAATTATTAATTGCACAATAACAAGTAAGAAGCATACTCTATTATCGTTTAGAAACTCTTCAATTTTAACGAAGTTACTTAAAGTGACATTTTGTTTAATTCCGCTATAATTAACATGTGTGAGATCACAAATATTCAGTGCGGAAACTTGACTATCATCACGAACTTTTTTAATGGCGATCAAATTCCGACCGTTATTAAGGTCGGAATTTGATAATGAAATTGAATATTATTCAATACAATTTCATTATCAAGTTTAATTTAATTAGTTAATAAATCCACTAACAAGACAATTAGATTTCCGTGAAATAACACCTAATTCGATTAAATATTTGAATAGATAAAATATATGTATGGATATATTATAAATATTAATTATAATACATTGTAATTAAGTAGGTCTAGCGATCTAGCACACCGCTTTACGACCGATAGTCGCGGGTTCGATTCCTCGCACGGCAGAAACATTTGTATTCATGAGTATGGTTGTTTATATCGGTCTGGGTGTTTTCTATGTATAATATGTATGTATATACAAAAAAAAATATCTATGTATATGTGTCAGTTACCTAGTACCCATAACACAAGCTTTCGCTAGCTTAACTTGGGTCTAGATGGGTCCTGAGATCATTATATTATCTATTACAATATTAAAACGTGAAGCATAAACTTTGGACTAGGAAATTTGCTATAAATACATAAAATTAACACTAAAATCTTGTCACACATGCAATTGTTCAAGTTAGAATATTATATTTTTTTATATTACGATGGTGGCAAAAGCATAGGGCTGGTAAAAGGTTACCGTAGCCTATGGACGCCTAAGACACCAGGTGTGTAACGAGGTCGTTTCCGATCCTTAACGATACATAGACATTTGACAGAAAGACAAGATGTATGAATAAATGTTTAGGTACTAAATATTGGTATTTACACAGAGAGGATCTTATATAACAAATAATAATAGGATATAACAAATAATAGGATAGTACTGCTCAACGCTAGTAGTGTTTAGGTACAAAATATTGGTATTTACACAGAGAGGATCTTATATAACAAATAATAATAGGATATAACAAATAATAGGATAGTACTGCTCAACGCTAGTAGTGTTTAGGTACAAAATATTGGTATTTACACAGAGAGGATCTTATATAACAAATAATAATAGGATATAACAAATAATAGGATAGTACTGCTCAACGCTAGTAGTGTTTAGGTACAAAATATTGGTATTTACACAGAGTGGATCTTATATAACAAATAATAATAGGATATTACAAATAATAGGATAGTACTGCTCAACGCTAGTAGTGTTTAGGTACAAAATATTGGTATTTATACAAAGCGGATCTTATATAACAAAAAATAATAGGATATAACAAATCCCTTATCCCATTATTTGTTATTAGCGCAGTGCGTCATCTTCCACTGATCTTTATCAAATTCCATTCTCCTTCTATACAAATAATTTTTCACACAGTTCATTCATCACATTCGTCTATTCTCTCTCCTAATATTTATAAATTAAGCCACTGGTTTTATGCTAGTACTATCATCCTCTACCGGCGCCCCGCCAGCGTATGCAGATTAACTAATTGCATATCCATATGAAATAAATATGTAGGTATATTTTTAATACCCAAATCTAAGAAACACTTGACAATATCAGTATCAGTCACTGTTATCTTTAATATTCGATAACAAATGAAATCCAATATGCGTTTACCCAAATTATTATCATATTCGCCATAATGCATTACTGCCCTCATATCTATGTATATACATAATCTATGCCCTACTTGAGGACCCTCAACTTTTTAAAAAGTTGTATGCGTTCTCGCCTTTTTTTCTATTCTAAAGCTGTTGTTAGTAGCTGGTCTTTATAGCTTCACCAAACGGTAGGGTGCGAGTGCAGATAGCACTCTAAACCCGGGGCAGGACTTATGAAGCGGCTAAAGGTTAACATGACGCATACGACTTTAGTTTGAAAGCACCGCTAGGAGTTCGAAGCTTAGCCAAGACCGTTGTAATTTCAATCCTTGTTTGAATTCGATAGTGGATCGATCCAAGGGTAACAGGGACGCCAAAGTGGAGCGTCCGGAATTGCGGTCTCGCTTATCTCCACAACCACTTTGTAAGATATACTTAGTTGAAGGGTGAGAAGAAGTATGTAGAGATAGAAGAGGTAGAAGAGGTGCTATTACCATGTGCGAAGGTTTAGCATTCTAGTTCTTTAGAATGGCAACGCATGGCATGGAATGCATACACTAGGGCGATCACAATGACGTGATATGTGATATGTTCATTAATATTCTTTAGCTTTTTGCTATTCCAGTAAAAAATAGAAGAACTAGAGGGAGACTTTCTTAGCATTCACCGTATGAGTGTCGGGTCTATCATGTGGCAGAGAGGCAAAACTTTGAGCAGTTACCGAAACTTGTGACCCTAGTGTAGGTTTAAGGGGTCCTTTTGCCGACATATGTCAACACTCACGTTCACCGCTCGTGATTCTCCCTGCCCAGCCAAATCTGGTAGGACCATTTTAGTGTAGATTTAAGTAAAAAATAGAATTAGTGTAGATTTAGATACACGTTCTAGTATAGAATTTACTGATATACAACCAGATAAAGACAGAAATTTTTATTATACTAACGATAATCATTTTTAGATAAGCTTACAAGTAGTTTATTTAGATATACCGATACTATAACGACCACGAAATTTACGCGCTGGATATGAGAGTGATGTAGATTCCGTGAAAAATTATGGAAATATAAATACGGTACATACACCAACATAACATTTTTTATAATTTTTGTCTGTCTGTCTGTTTGGTCCGTTCTGAATAGTGCTGCTACACCGACCATGGCAGTTTACCTGTCTCGTCTACATTACCCCACTAAGGAACAGGACATTGTTGATTATATCCGTACCAAGAGTAACCTGCCATTGAGGGTGACGCAGCTGGAGTCAAGCCACAACGCAACTTTCAAGGCGTTTGTAGCCCGGGTCCCCACAAACATGCTGCTCACCTTCATGAAGGAGGACTACTGGCCGAAGGGTGTGGTGTACCGGCGTTACAGTGGCAGACTGCCGCCGTCAGTACCGTGATCACACAGACAATTTTAACATCTTAATTTTATACTATTTCATATGTATGTTAGTCTATAAGGTATTTATAATATGGGCCTGGTAGCCTGAAATAAATAAATAAAATAAAATAATCTCTGAAATAGCTGGACCGATTTTGACGGGACTTTTTTTAGCAGGTATCTGAGTAACTTAAGCTACTTTTATTTTAGAAAAACAAAGTTTAATTCCACGCGTACGAAGTGGCGTGTACAGCTAGTTGTAAAATAAAAATATTGGATAAAGGTGAAATATGATTTATTGATTTGACTAGGCTTGTTGGGGCGGTGAAATGACATCAGCTGTGGACTATATAATTCTGTATTTACATATATATATTATTACAAGTTATAAGAGTGAAAGTACGTGTGGTGCCCAATGCACGTAATGCCCGGTTTGAGGCTCCGCGGCAGATCGGGCTAGCTGCCGGCTGGGACACCTCGCGGTGCCCACGGGCCTTATCTATATAAAAGGGCAAATAGCTAATTGTCCATAATGTATAAATCAAGGCATGAGTGTAAAAAAAATTATTTATCTTTGCGTTTGTAGCGCGGTGGTTATCCCTATCACTGTTGGGTTATATATGTTGTGATGAGGTGGCGCTACATAATATATTATTTATTGTAGTGTGTAGGTAGTGAGTATACCGGTAAAATGATTTGATTATTTATTAGACATTATTAAGTTTATTGGCAGTGTGCTACATGGTTTATTAGTAACGCGTCCAGTCGACGCGGAGTCGGGACGTAGACTGATTTTACACTTAACTTAAATCTGCGTTAGTGGAGACGTAAACTAATAGAAGGGTCACTAGTGTCGACAGAAATATTACAAGTGTAGGCACACGTTCATAATAAAAATATATATCTAAAGAAAATTAAAATAAATTAAAAAAGTACGGGTCAAAGAATTTCTACTAGATTTTCTGTGTCACGGTAGTGTTTTAGGAAATGAGCACTGCTTGTCCTAAAATACAGGATTTTTCCTATTTAAGGAGCAGGGTTTCATCTTATATCATAAGGATAAATGTAACACTGTATTGTATAAATAAATAAATAAATCAGTATCACAGATATCACGTCATCATGTGACCCGGCACCTACATATCACGGCACATGTGTCATCCAAAATGACAATGCATGATAACTCATGCATAGCCATTTTGAATGACTTATACGTTATGCTACCGTACCACGTTTCGTGCCAGATGGACACACTGTCATATATAATATTAGTATAGATAATACAGATATAATATGTAGATAACAGTCAGTTATTAACCGAAAAGTATTAAACGCGTACGTTATCATGCTGCCTCAGTACATATTACATACCAGTGCTGTGACGTGCGCAAAGTGATGTAGGTACAATTCTACGAAAAATTAACCGAATATTTTGTTAGATAGTAAAGACTTTGGATTCATTAAAATAAATAAGTATCTACCAAATCAGAACAAATTAACATTCATAGATGAGATTTTAGCCGATTATGAACCACAATATTTTTGAACTAATATTCTTTGACCTTTTACAATTTATACACCGCCATCTAACTCCAAGCTAAGCACAGTCTGTGTTATGGATAGTAGACAATGTATCAACATCATCATCTCAGCCGGGAAGACGTCCCCTGTTGGACATAGGCAAGGTGGACCGACGATCTGGTCAAGATCGTACATATATAATCTACATAGAAAACACACTGACAATACATATACATGAATACAAAAGTTTGTACCATGTATGGCGATGCTAAATCACTGAGGCCGTCTGTGACAAACATTTGACAATTATTTGGTTAAAATAATAATACTCTTTATTGTGCATAAAAAAATAACTTACTATAAAAATATGTTAATAAAAGGCGACCAAATCAATTATCGTTCAAAACAATCTCTTACTGACAACATAAGAGAATTAGTAAGCAGATAGAAGTTTTGAGTACAGTCACTACAAAAATAGAATTAGAAATGCATATAAATACTAAAGGTGTATGAACATAAATAAAATATGCCTAACTAAATAAATAATAATAAATACATGTGTAGCAAAACAAAAATATTTCAGAAACATATTTAGTCGGAGAGAATTTGAGATCTAAATAAATTTTTGAACATAGAAAATACTAATAGAAAGAGTCATCGAGTTCCAAAGACGATAACAATACTATTTGATACATTAGAATAGGTATATATTGTCATAAACATAAAAGGAGCAGTGGCATATATTATCTTTCTTGTTTTCGCCAGTTGGCGCCACTGCTGAGTAAGGTCTATTGGTCCACGATGGTATGATTGATTTATATGCACAATCAAGTAACAGAAAATTTCTTTAGCATTATTGGCAAAATGTTATGTTCAAATTGTGCTGCTTATTTGTTTATTTTTTTAGTGACATACATGTGGTGACTGTATTCAATCTAAATTTCAGGAAGTATGATGATTTTTCATTTCCTCTTGATTTCGAATTTCCGGATAATCGGAAAAATTTTGTCATTGAGTGTATTTTAAAAACGTGGAAATACCAGCTGTAGGTTCGCGGTACTCTGTTGTTATTTATAATATATGTTCTAATAAAGCGATTCATATAGTAATAATCAAACTTCATTTGAGAAGTTCGTTTGATCATGTATTATAATTATGTATAGTCTCATTAGCCCGTGATACCACTCGTCCGTTTCCTTTCCAGAGGAATAAGACATCATGATCCTGGCAGGGTCGCCATGTAAAGGTGGATGGGTGGATCAATGACTACACCAGAGTTCTGATATAGACTATATTTATAAGTATAAATTACGCGTTATACATATGGTTGCTACTCTGCACTATACTGCACCCTTTGTACTTTGTAATTTTACTGCCCTATCTCACCCTTATACTGAAATGCATGTTATAAAACTGCTTGGCGGTTGTTAAGATAAGACTCAGGTATTCACGCAGATGATTTTTTTACAAAGTGTCCTTCGTAAAATTGAGAATTATGCAAAAATAAAAAAACACAATTTTCGGGTTACGTCAATTGGCGTGATAGTAACGTTTTGCCTCACATTTAACTTATTATTTCTTATCACTCCCATTCGTTCGCTGCATTCACTAATAGGTGCTATAACGTGAAACTAAGTCTATATTTATGTTATTGTCTATGCTCTTATTTATTACTAGTTGACCCGCGCAAGTTCGTCTACGTTTCATTTGTACCTTTTGCAACATTTTTCATTACAGCTTCGCTCCTATTGGTCGTAGCGTAATGTTATATAAATTAAAGCCTTCTTCGACAAATAGACTATCCAGAACGAAAATTTCAATTCGAATCAGTAGTTCCTGAGATTAGCGCGTTCAAACAAACAAACAAACTTCAGCTTTGTAATATTAGTATAGATACAATAGTGCGTGTGTGCCAATGTTGTTGTTTTCTGGTCTGTACCTACGCATCCGTCCCGATGGAGTGCGCTGAGAAGGGCCCACTAAGGGCCGCGTAACGTATCGTACTTGATACCACAATACATACATATGGAAATTTTAGAAAAAATATTGCCGGGTTTTGGAGATAATTTCAGCCATTTATGTCAATCTAACTGTGCGTGGTAATCCACGATTTTCTTTTTCTTCAAAAGATAGTTAATGTGACCCAGCGTTTGACGATATCCAGGACTGTGTTGCAAATTTTTTTTATGATCTTCATGCCCATATTATTGCTTTGGCATTGTGGGAAGGTACCGGGAAAGGAATTACAGGTAAGTGAGTGAATCTGTGTGTGTGGTTAGAACCCAACATGTGACGTTATGGATATGAAATTTCGGATACGGATAGGTTTCGGATATAGAAATGATTATTATACGGATACGGATATATGAAATTATTTCGGATTATCCGTTAGTTTCGGCTAATTTCGGTTACGGATATTATTTTTTACGAAATTTCAAGAGTAAAATACATTTATTTAATAAAATGTTTACATAACGTGTCTCAATTAGGCCCTATCCGATATTATCCGAAACTTTTATTTCGGATTCGGTTACGCTTACGAATATTTTTTTATATCGGATATACGATAGTTTCAGTTACGGTTACTGAGCCTTTTGTTTTTTTTTTTAACGTGTGGAAAATCTTCAAAAGACCGTCACCCCGCCGGAGGGAGGGCGGGGCGGTGTGTGAGACTTGTACTCACCAAAAACCACACGGTGTACCTACGAGCGCCTATGCCGGAGCCACGGTTACTGAGCCTACCATCCCTGTAAACACTGTGGGTACCATAATAATCTCAATACGTGTAATAATAATAATAACTACTGTAGAACTGTTCGAAAATGGATGGAAATAGATGAAAATGACATAACTTGTGTCATTAAATGAAAAGACTCACAATTAGTACACACACACACACACACACCCACATATTCATATATATACATTCATACATTTGACGGCCTCGGTGGTCTAGCGGTTTAGCACACCGCCTTACTACCGATGGTCGCGGGTTCGATTCCTCGCACGGCACAAATATTTGTATTCATGAGTATGATTGTTTGTATCGGTCTGGGTGTTTTCTATGTATAATATGTATGTACTTATGAAAAAAAAAATATATGTATTTGTATCAGTTGTCTAGTACCCATAACACAAGCTTTAGCTAGCTTAACTTGGGTCTAGATGGCGCTGTGTGAATTGTCCTGAGGTTATTATTATTATTATATATATGTATATATATATATATATATATTTATTATATCTCCATTTTGTAATATTATTATTATTTTTTTTTATATATATATTATATATCTCCCATTGATGGGGTAATTATTATTATTATTATCATTCTTTATTTTTTCTCAGACTATATAAGTGTAGAGTGTGTGTATGTGTGTGTGCGCGTTATTATTATTATTATTATACACACACACAGATAGCACTATATAGTTTCATCCCGTAAGTGTAGTATACGCCACAAAGCGTAAAAAACCAGCGAAAACTGTGGAAGTGAAGCACAATAGAAATATAAATAATCTTAATTCAAATAAACTTAATATAAGCATTTTTTTAAATGTTAGAATAAATCTAATACACGATATATATAGTAAACACCTAGATGCAAATCAATACTATTAGTTTGGTTATTGTATGGTCACCAAATTTTTTTATCGAGTAGGTTGCCTTAACAACGAGATAGGGCCCTATCTCGTAATTAGGGTACGCTAACACCACTGGAGCCGCAGTAGATATGCTAACGCGACCCCGTGACTCCGGAATTGGCCGCGTAGGTACATCGTGTGGTTTTCAGTGTTTAGTGGGTAATCTTCTCAAATTCTCTTCACCCCTCCATCGGAGGGACGCTCTTTTGAAGATTTTTTGATACCATAAAAATAGGACCTTCATTAAAAGCTGGAGAGAACACTGGAGTGCAAGTTTCATATTTTTAATAATTAAAAACATATACGTATAATTAGTAAAAATCACGGTACCTTACCACGTTTTATATTTATTTGCTGAGTTCCCTGGTACCTGGTGATTGAATAATGACCGCGTCAAGTTTAAAACAGTATATAAAAACATATAATTTTTTATTATGTTGATTTAACAAATGCTAATTCTATTCAAATAAATTCTGTTCAAATCGTCCTTTTTCCATTTTCGAAGAGCTCGAAAGTAAGTATAATTCTTGTCCACTTATTATACTGGACCGATATTTTTCAAAATAAACCGTATCACAGGTTTTTAGAGGTAACCCTAGTGGCAAATAAGCAGGTAGCCAAGTGCGGTAATATTCATTATACTAAAGTCAGCCGCATACTCCTTTCCTTTGATGTTATAAAAAAGTGTACAAATTTTCCAGTTGAATAAATAATTCCATTGTAATGACGAATTTCATAGGAATAAACCACTTTATCTCTTCAATAATACATATATAGAATTCTCGTGTCACGGTGTTTGTAACAAAACTCCTCGAAAACGGCTTGACCGATTTTTTTGAAATTTTATACGTATATTTAATAGGTCTGTGTAAACTATTTTTTTATACCCTTAAGTAATAAGGGTCGTCCTCCTAAATTTATTTTAATTAAAAATATGTCATTCATCTATAATTTAAGAGCCACGCTCTTTTCGATGGAACTCGTGCCACTTTCCACGATCTTCCATCAGGCTCTTTAAATGTAAAATATGTGTAAATAATACGAAACTATTTTTTTTTATTTGCTTGATGTATTTGTGCTTTGGTCTTCCTTCTATTTTTCCTTAAATAAATATATACAATTGTACAAGTCTAAATATTCACCTTTCTACCATCAACTCATTTTTTTAATAGCAATCTTTATATTTTAATTTATATGACAGTACATCGTGTGCCGAGTCAGTTAGTAGATATATATATCTATAGTATTTACGACCCAAATTTGTTTTATTGTGCGTATATATTTCACTAATGCGGTTTTATGATTACCATTCGACAACATTGAGTGATAATAATTAATTCTAGTAAAGGTGTATATTGCGATGAGTATGTTTTGTGCGATTGATATTAAAATGTATGTAAAATTGTGACAGTGTACATTATTTAGTTTTAGTGATACATTGGTTTTTTTTCTATTCTACTCTTTAAGTTATAGTGATTTTTGAAGCCCTAAATGTGAGTATTATTACTTATTTATTTGTTTTCAGAATAGTGTTACAAGTAGGTCTTACAATGTAATTATTCGTGCAAAGTATTTAGTGATACAACGGTTTTTGATTTGTATTCTACTTGTTGAGTTACAATGTATTTCAAAATTCTAAATGTGAGTATTATTAAGAAAGCTATTGTAATTCTTTGATATTTTTATTTATTTTGCGTGTTAGGACTGGTCATTTGATGTTTGTTTTTGCTTGCTATTAATAAATTTGACCGGTTTTATGAACATGAATACTACTGAGGATGATTTTTTTTATTGAGGTTTTTGGGCTATTGTCATGTTCTACGATCTGTAACACTGAGACCTGTATAGATCTATTATGCTCGCTCTTTTTAGGAAGATGTTACTGACAGATGTACAGATGCTTTACCTTTCTACCCTTTTTCAACGCAGTACATGTGTGTATTGTTATTGTATTGTATATCTTATAAATAATATTATATTATTTTAATTATTATATTGTGGAATTATTACTATGTTGGACTTAGCTTTCAGTTTTAATTTTCTTTATAATAATGTCTAGCTAGGCAGAGCTTGTATTATGGGTACTAGACAACTGATAGAAATATACAAATACTTTTATTGTGGATATAAATAGAAAACACTCAGACCGATATAAACAATTATACTTATGAATACAAATGTTTGTAAGGATGTGCTAAACTTCAAAAAAATTTTGGTTCTCAATTCGGCAGCATTCCTTTTAATATTTAACAACAAACATTTGAAAATAAAAAAATATTGAAAGGCTATACTTTCAGGTTAGTTGTTGTAGTATTGTCGATGTTTCTTTTTTAAAAACATTATTTGTCGTGTCACTGTGAATTCAACTGTTTTTAGTGTTGCAATCCAACGCCAATAGTTTGCCATGAAATGGGCAGTATGTTTGTTTGTTACCATTGTTAATTATAAAAAAAAAATTCAGTCGAATTCATTGCCAGTTAACGAATGTATAAATGTACTTATCCTTTTCTGTTTTTAATAGATGATAAAAATATAGAAGTGACTGATAAAGATAATTACGGAATTAATACCATAAAAACAACTTCAGTCGTGACTCAATTAGATATATAGACTGTAACTAACATAATGAATAAAAATACATTAAATCAATTTATAATACCTACGAGCACTTTAGTGTAGATGTCGTGTAAAATTAAAAAATATGTTATTTAAAATTTTAAGGACTCGGTAGTCTACGGTACATTTGTATTCAAGAGTATGATTGTACTGGTTTCGGTATTTTCTATATATATTATCTATGTATTTACTATAAAAAGATGTTTAGGTATATATATATCGGTTGTCTAGTACACATATCACAAGTTATGCTTAGCTTGGGACTAGGCGCTCGTGCTGTGTGTGATGTCCAAACAAGAGAAACGAAATTAAAATTGAAAAAATGAACCATCCGTTTTTTTAGTAGGTTTAAAATATAATTCACATAGTATATATATTTATAGTATAGTATTCAATATAGTCGATTAAAATATAGAAGCATATAATTTCGTGCATAAAGTTATCTGTGAGTTTGATAACTACAATAATTTAATTTGACGTTCGTTGTCGTAGTTTCATTCCGAACAGTTGACACTCGGCTTCCAAACTGTATACAAACTCTATTAATTGCCTGATAAAGCCTCAGACAGAGAGTATTTCTCAGACGTTTCAACATGGGTGTAGATCTGATAAGGGTCGGCGTTTGATTGCTAGTGCGTAAGGTCACAACGCTTCCGGTAGCGGTGGTTAGGTTTCCGCACTGAATGCTTGTTCTAATAGTACCGGAAATAAACTAACTAATACAAATTTATTAACTAATACAACAATTTTGTTTCAGATGGCAGTCCCACGGAAACTTTACTGCTATTTAATATTTACTCTCATATTATGTATTCATACAAATGCAAAAAATGAAACAGTAAAGAAAGTATGTCCAATAGTGCAGCACGGAAGCGGTCTCATGGAAGACGAAGATTGTAATAAGGATCTGGCTTGGTCCGATACAGACGTATGTTTATTATGAAACTGACGACAATGCATACTTCTAATGTTGTTGGCTGTAGCTGGCCTTTACAGCTTCCTCGGATGATAGGGGGAGAGTGCATATAGCACTCCAAATCAAAGGAACTTATGGGGCGGCTGAAGGCCAACTTCCGCCTGATGTGTACGATATTACTCTGAGGGTACCGCTAGGGGTTCGAACTGCGGTTCCGGTAATCGTAATTTCGATCCCCGTTTGAATTAGAAAGGTGTTCGAAGAAAAATATAAAATAAAAAAAATAAAAACAGCAACTATGCAAATTACAATAATAATAATAATAATCTAGACATATACTAACAATACTACTCTAATACTGTGACACAACAAAATTCGTTACCGCTTTGTGAAACTCTGTGGCAGTACAATTAAATATGTCAAGTGGGAAAATTATAGATAACTCATTAAGCAGATGGAGTGCTCTTGGGAGTGGTGCGTGATCAGCATGTATGTATCTACACAATAGCAGGGTAAATATGTACTTAGTATTTACCATTACGCTTTTCAAGTTCTGGGACGTGAATGCTGATCAGGCTCAAGATAGTTGGATTATATCTTATTCCTCTGATAATTTTGAATACGAACTCCAGGAATGATATATTTCGTCTCAATCCGAGTGCTCTATAACCCACTTTCATTTTCTGATCCTGTTACGTATGGTAACAGGATCAGAAAATGAAAGTGCTCGGATATATATGTGGGTACCCTACGCGATAACCGTATCGTTTATGGTATAACCATCTTATAAACTTTTTTTGCAATTTTTCAATCATCATTGAATATTTTGTCTCGTTATTATGATTCTCGCAAATTATGTATGCATTTACAAAAAAAAAATGTATAGGTATTTGTTACAGTTGTTTAGTGCACCTAATACCACTGCTGAAGTCACCACTACAACTGAAGAGTCGACGAGTTCGGAGACTACGACTCCAACGGCGGCCACTACTGAAACAACCACTAACGAGACCACCACTACCGAAGCCACCACTACAACTGAAGAGTCTACGACCTCGGAGACTACGACTCCAACGCCGGCCACTACTGAAACAACCACTAATGAGACCACCACTACAACTGAAGAGTCGACGAGCTCGGAGACTATGACTCCAACGGCAGCCACTACTGAAACAACCACTAACGAGATCACCACTACAACTGAAGAGTCGACGAGTTCGGAGACTACGACTCCAATGGCAGCCACTACTGAAACAACCACTAACGAGACCACCACTACAACTGAAGAGTCGACGAGCTCGGAGACTACGACTCCAACGGCAGCCACTACTGAAACAACCACTAACGACACCACCACTACCGAAGCCATCACTACAACTGAAGAGTCGACGAGCTCGGAGACTACGACTCCAACGGCAGCCTCTACTGAAACAACCACTAATGAGACCACCACTACAACTGAAGAGTCGACGAGCTCGGAGACTACGACTCCAACGGTGCCCACTACTGAAACAACTACTAACGAGATCACCACTACAACTGAAGGGTCGACGAGTTCGGAGACTACGACTCCAATGGCAGCCACTACTGAAACAACCACTAACGAGACCACCACTACAACTGAAGAGTCGACGAGCTCGGAGACTACGACTCCAACGGCAGCCACTACTGAAACAACCACTAACGACACCACCACTACCGAAGCCACCACTATAACTGAAGAGTCGACGACCTCGGAGACTACGACTCCAACGATGGCCAGTACTGAAACAACCAATAACGAGACCACCACTACAACTGAAGAGTCGACGAGTTCGGAGACTACGATTCCAACGGCGGCCACTACTGAAACAACCACTAACGAGATCACCACTACAACTGAAGAGTCGACGAGCTCGGAGGCTACGACTCCAACGGCGGCCACTACTGAAACAACCACTAACGAGATCACCACTACAACTGAAGAGTCGACGAGCTCGGAGGCTACGACTCCAACGGCGGCCACTACTGAAACAACCACTAACGAGACCACCACTACAACTGAAGAGTCGACGAGTTCGGAGGCTACGACTCCAACGGCGGCCACTACTGAAACAACCACTAACGAGATCACCACTACAACTGAAGAGTCGACGAGCTCGGAGGCTACGACTCCAACGGCGGCCACTACTGAAACAACCACTAACGAGATCACCACTACAACTGAAGAGTCGACGAGCTCGGAGGCTACGACTCCAACGGCGGCCACTACTGAAACAACCACTAACGAGATCACCACTACAACTGAAGAGTCGACGAGCTCGGAGGCTACGACTCCAACGGCGGCCACTACTGAAACAACCACTAACGAAACCACCACTACAACTGAAGAGTCGACGAGCTCGGAGGCTACGACTCCAACGGCGGCCACTACTGAAACAACCACTAACGAGACCACTACTACCGAAGCCATCACTACAACTGAAGAATCGACGAGCTCGGAGACTACGACTCCAACGGCAGCCTCTACTGAAACAACCACTAATGAGACCACCACTACAACTGAAGAGTCGACGAGCTCGGAGACTACGACTCCAACGGCAGCCACTACTGAAACAACCACTAACGAGATCACCACTACAACTGAAGAATCGACGAGCTCGGAGGCTACGACTCCAACGGCGGCCACTACTGAAACAACCACTAACGAGACCACCACTACAACTGAAGAGTCGACGAGCTCGGAGGCTACGACTCCAACGCCGGCCACTACTGAAACAACCACTAACGAGACCACCACTACAACTGAAGAGTCGACGAGCTCGGAGGCTACGACTCCAACGGCGGCCACTACTGAAGCAACCACTAACGAGATCACCACTACAACTGAAGAGTCGACGAGCTCGGAGACTACGACTCCAACGGCAGCCACTACTGAAACAACCACTAACGAGACCACCACTACCGAAGCCACCACTACAACTGAAGAGTCTACGACCTCGGAGACTACGACTCCAACGGCGGCCACTACTGAAACAACTACTAACGAGACCACCACTACAACTGAAGAGTCGACGAGTTCGGAGACTACGACTCCAACGGTTACTTCAACTGAAACAACCACTGATGAGACTACCACTACCGAAGCCACCACAGCTGATACTACTACCGCTATATCCACTACTCCAGGTATTTCGGTTAGTAAACTGATATTATTATGTCTTTTATTTTCATCCGACTACGGTGAATAAAAAAAACAACAGTCAGTGACTGTTGTTTTTTTTTATTTTATACTTCTATTTATAATCGTATTAATATTAAATATCACCCGCATGAAATTAGTGGCAAATGTGTTATTTTGATGAACCTATACTATTATAGAGTTTCATTAAAACCTCTATCCATACTAACAAACTTTCGCGTATATAACATTAATAAGATTCTTCAGTGATGTTTTGTCTAGGGTTATTATAATTTTCACCTACTTCTTAGTTCTCAGTTAAGATTAGCTAATTATATTGCTATAGATAATGTAACCAAAATTTCTCTTGCAGCCTGATGACATAATAGATCAAATTATAGAGGATATACTTGACATTTTGGAAAACGAGGATGTCCCGGTCTATGTGGATACTATCACAGACGCCTTTGATCAGGTAATAACTATACAATATTGAACAACTGTACATACCTCAGTCTCGCCTATTTCGGTTGCCAAGCATTACTTTATATGATGTGTTTCGGTTGTACAATGAGATTACAGGTGAAATTACAGGGTAAGAGAGACATTTCTTGATTTATTTAATTTGATCTTGATTGGAATTAATTGCTATTTGTTTCTTGATCATACTTGGTATGTTGGATATGATTATGGAAGGACATATCTGGGATGAGTATGCGCGTGAGTGAGACAACTATACAAATTGAAATGCACGCGTTTTTTTCTATAATATTGGATGTAATATCTTATCTGTGATATTGGTAATTGTCGATGCACGAATGAGATAGCGCTATTGCGAGAATGAAACGTAAATTTAAATTTAATTATTTATTTAACTGTTAATTATATAATGATGTTGGAGGCAGCCCCCAACCTAAAAGCCAGCCTCATTAAGGTTGAGCTTATATCAGCAACAGATGAGGCAGCTCCTATTGCCTTAATTGAATTTTTTTCTCTTAATTTGTATGTTTTTCGTAATCTGTTAATGATGGCAAAGATTTTATGTATCTTAAAAGCGAACTAAATGAACTATTGATGCATAGGGAAAATATAGGTAAAAGTTAATGAAAAAAGATATGTCGTGGTGTTTGTTACCATACTTCTCCGAAACTCTCTTCTCGGCTTTACCGATTCTTATGAAAAAGTAGGTCTGATAATCTATTTTTCTATTTATTGGCCAACATCTATTTTCCGTACCACTTAATGAAGGCGACCTACCCCTAAATATTTTTTTTACTCTAAAATTCTCACCCTTCTACCACTAACTCTTATTTTTAATAGCGATATTAATTTATATGGAAAAACAACGTTTGCTGGGTCAGCTAGTAGTGTATTTTTTTTCAAGGTGAACGACCTTCTCGATATGGAAGAGGACGTTACCTTCCCTCCGGAAATGCTGGATATCTTGGACACGTTGGGATCCCGAATAGATCTGAATGGTGCCCCGAACGATACAATAGTACGTGATAATTTGGCTCTACTGATGGCAGACGCCTCCCCAGATAACCCTGTTAGGGGCTTGAGACTAACTGCAGGAGGAGAAGGTAGAACGAGAAACTCATTTTCTAAGGACACTTTCGAATTTCTCTCTGGTGAGTGATTTATTATAGTACTCTTTATGTTTAACACGTTAAAAACCGCATGTCCAACGATGGGTCACTTCGCAAAGAAATTAAATTAAATTTATTTATATATACATTCGAACATACTAAACTAAAAAAAAAAGATAACTTAAGTGTGATTAAATAAACAAATAACAACTTATTATATATATAAAACTATCTTTTTTTAATGCACCGCCTACATGAATCTCTGTTCACCCAATGGTTGACTGGGAGAAAATACCTCTAGGTGTTAAGTCCGCTATGTGCACCATTATTTATGCATTTATGCATTAAAGTTTCAATAAATAAATAAAATATAGACGTCCTCGGTGGTCTAGCGGTATAGGACATTCCTTCTCTTCTCAAGGTTGCGGGTTCGATTCCTCGCACGCTGTAATCAATTGTATGATTGTTTGTATCAGTATCTGGTTGTTCTCTATATATACTATGTATGTATTTACAAAAATGTATATATATATATATGGTGTTTAGTTTCCAACATAAGCTCTGCTTAGCTTGGAACTAGATGGCGCTGTGTGAATTGTCCTGAGAAATTATTACAGTGATAATTTTTTCAGATGACGATCCTGATCATTTGAATGCTGATGCAAGCGATGCTGTAGTGCATTTACCAGAGTCTGTAGCGACATCTACAAGGCGTATTAGTTTTGTTGTCTTCCGTGATGACCAAGCGTTCGCCAACACTAATTCTCGATTAGCTGTCAACAGCCGAGTGATCAGTGTTAATGTGGAGAATTTGACACAGTTCGATAACGACGAGGTATATATTTTCTTTTGGAAGGAATTAATATTAATACTTATTTTTAAGTCACTAACACAGTAGCCGAAGAGATCAAGCACTGCTACTCGAAAGACAAGACCAGGATAGTAAACCAGGATGGTAGGATGGATAGAACGTGCTGGTCAATCAACTGATAGTCCCTGACAATATAGGTCGGCTTAAAAGGCGTAGGTTACTGACGATTAATCAGGACCACCAAAAGAGACGGTATTTCTGCTGGGAATCACACCACTAATCTACCCACGACGTATCCTTTACCACATCTGTTCATAGTCTTCGACTGATTGCAGAATAGACACAGAGAAAAATAAGAAAATAAAGTTTTAAGTCAGCCATATTGAGTTTTGTATGACGTCATGCTATTTCCGTAATATCTGTATAACCATATATAGTCATAAAATAATAATAATGAAATTCTGTGCAAATATAGACGTAGTAAAATATTAATAAGATACACTTGACACACCAGAAAACATTTGCTACACGGCACGTATGTTTTCAAATCTGTACTATTTTCTATTAATGTATGCATGTATTTATTACTATTTACGTGTATTTTTTTTATTATAATTCTATTAGCCATATTCATATATCTCTACTCTTTCCTAAGGTTGACTGGGAGAGAATGCCATACATTAAGTCCACCTTTTATACCAATTTTAGTGGTCAATAAAGCAAATAAATAAATAAATAAATAAAATAAATAAATAATATTATAAAGCTGAAGAGTTTGTTTGAACGCGCTAATCTCAGGAACTACTGATTCGAATTGAAATTTTCGTTCTGGATAGTCCATTTGTCGAAGAAGGCTTTAATTTATATAACATTACGCTACAATCAATAGGAGCGGAGCTGCCATGAAAAATATTGGTGGTGAAATTAAACGCAGACGAAGTTGTGCGGGTCAGCTAGTAGTGGAATAATTTTATTTAACTGAAATTCTTAATATCATATGGAATTCCGGAATTTGATTTTAGTTATTTTTATATTGCCTTCTGTTTTTCTTCTTTACCCAAAGGCTGCCTGGAGGTATAAGACTGCCTATATATACTTGTATATGTATTACATGTTTTAATTTATTACGAAAACAATACAGTATGTTGCGGGTGAATAATAAGATGTTGCTGGTCGAGACGATGTATATTACATATGATGATAAACTGACAACTACTATTACATAACACACGATTTAAATAAATATATACACTTTTACATTATATTCTGTTTATATTTCTCTATTTCTTATATTATATTTTATATTTTTGTTTATTATGGTTCCTGTAATATAAATCTGGTGCAATAAATAGTTAATAAATGAAATAAATAAAACAAAATTAAGCAGACGAAGTTCCTTTAACACTCTCTTTCAATATTATAATCTTTACTTAATACTATATCAATAAATCGTTTTACAGGTGGTAAAACTGCATTTGAAGCCTGTTATCAAAACAACAGGTGATATGAACAGATCATGCGTCTTCTGGAACTTAGAAGACGGCAGTGGATACTGGTCAGATAGAGGCTGTAAATTAGTGAAGTCTACAGAGCCTGGAGTTCTAGATGCGTGCCATTGCAACCACTTAACACATTTCGCCGAAGTCATAGGTAATTATAATGTTTTGAAATAGAAAAGTAGCAATTTACAAATATAATTCACTAGCTTTTGCCCGCGGTTTCGCTCGTGTTAATTTATCCCCTTAGGGGTGGAATTTATCAAAATCCTTTCTTAGGGGATGCCTACGTCATAGTAGATTTATGCATGCAATGTCTCAGCCCGATCGGTTTAAAATTGACAAAGTTTCATATAAACTTTCATCCCCTATTTTATTCCCTTCGGGGTATAATTAATCAAAATTCTTAGCGGATGCCAACGTTATAACATCTACCTGCATGCCAAATATCAGCCCGATCCGTCCAGTGGTTTGGGCTGTGCATTGATAGATCACTATGTCAGTCACCTTTGAGTTATATATATTTAGATATAGAAAAGTAATCAGGAATGCAAATATTTTTTAAATTATTCATATAAAATACCTATACCATCATATATTACATCAATAAAAAAACTTTGCAGACACTACTATAGATTTGTATTTATATATACTCTTTTGTTTATAGCCAGTACCTGTGATTATAGAAGTACAGTCTTTGACAATAATGGCAATATGGCAATTAATGGCAATTTAATAATGTTCGTTATTAGTAATTTAATTATGGTCGAATTTGAACTAATACGACCACTAATCATAATAGATCTCCATGAATAAAGTTATTTTGATTGGATGCATTTGATTTCATTTAAAAAAACTGTCCGTCATATTATATTTTTAAATATAAATGTAATAGAGTATAGTTATTAAATATTTTGTACTGTTGTGGTCTTAGAGATAAGATTAGATTACTAATCTAATCTTATCTCTAAGATCAGTGAGAACCTAGAGCTATTTTATGTACTTGCCATATGATAGAATAATATTCCCCGACTCACAAGATTTGTTTTTTAAGAAAACAGATACTTCCTATAAGTAAATAGATAGATACTTGATTTATTAAACCACATATATTTTAATAATGTAACAATTTCTTATATTTATACAAGAATCAACAATCATTTAACATTTACACTCTGAAGTTGTATAAGAACGAAATTATTACAATTTACAATTATAAATTATTTGTGCCTCAAAAATCAAAATATGATTGAGAAGAACAAACTATTTGTATTTATCTAAAATAATAATAATCTCTGGACAATTCACACAGCGCCATCTAGACCCAAGTTAAACTAGCTAAAGCTTGTGTTATGGGTACTAGATAACAGATACAAATACATAGATTTTTTTAGTAAATACATACATATTATACATAGAAAACACCCAGACCGATACAAACGATCATACTCATGAATACAAATGCTTGTGCCGTGCGAGGAATCGAACCCGCGACCATCGGTCGTAAAGCGGTGTGCTAGACCGCGAGACCACCGAGGTCGTCACGTCAATTAAAATTACCAACACGTTTAAACAATAATTTACTTATTGAAACAAATAAAATCAATGGTCTATGAATGGTTATCCATATTAACATCAATGTTTGAGGTCCATCCTAAAGAGGTCTGCCTACTCCGATCAGTGCGAACAACATGTAGAGCAAATCAAGTTATTTTACTGTCTGTATATCATGATTTCAGTTCTACCACCACCCGATACCACGACCGTCGAGCCGCCAGGTACGAATATGAGAAATTGCATTTATTTATTATCAAGCCGTGCCCACGGTTTCACGCGTTATATTTCAATATGTAAATCTATACATATAAATAAAATTAGAGTGTCTGTTTGTAATATTGGAATAACCGTTTTTTACTACATGCATATGAATATAAATACGGTACATACACCAAAACAATATTTTTACAATTTTTGTCTGTCTGTCTGTCTGTTTGTTCCGGCTAATCTCTGAAATGGCTGGAACGATTTTGACGGGACTTTTTTTGACAGATAGCTGAAGTAATAAGGAGTAACTTAGGCTACTTTCAATGGTGTGTTATTTAATTGCAGAAACATCGACCGGAACAACCAGTGCTACATCTTCACCAGAGGTATAACGAATGTTTATTAAAATAGTATAATAGTATATCTAATATAATAATAATAATCTCACGACAATTCATACAACGCCATCTAGACCCAAGTTAAGCTAGCTAAAGCTTGTGTTACGGATACTAGAGAATTGATACAAATACATATGTACATTTCATAGAAAACACCTAGACCTATACAAACAATTATACTCATGAAATTTTTGTGTCCTGCAAGGAATCGAACTCGCGATCATCGCAATTAAAGAGGTGTGCTAAACCACTAGACCACCGTGGCCGTCAATCTCAGTATACACTCGTATATATACATAAATATATCTTGTTTATTAGCTATCGTTCTCACCATAATAAACTTTGTAAAAATTCGTCTGCTGAGATACTCAACCGACAAAGATCTACAAACAGAAAATACTCGTATTTTACAAAGTACAAACCTTTATATCTTCATCATCATCATCATCATCATCGCAGCCCGGAAGACGTCCACTGCTGGACATAGGCAAAGATCTCCACGACGATCGGTCCTGCGCTGCTCGCATCCAATGCCTTCCAGCGATCTTGACCAGGTAGTCGGTCCACCTTGCTGGAGGCCATCCCACGCTACGTCTTCCGGTCCTTTATATCTTACGCTGAATATAATCTGAAATTGTGATTCAGTCTCTACTTTTTTTATTTCGAATTCAGATTCAGTATGACACTCGTAGTACATTTTTATCCTTTTCTTGAATTCATAGATCTGTTATTATTGGTAAAGGCCATGGCAATGCTCTTAGCATTAGATCAGTATCCTTTGTTGTAAAAATCAACTAATTCATTTGTTTTTTTTCGAACTACTTTTTGCCTTTACAACTTCAGCGATGATACGATAGGGGGCGAGTGCAGATGGCACTCCAAACCCACGGAAGGACTTATGGAGTGGGTGAAGGCCAACACCTGGCTGACAGATATGACTTTAGGCTGAGGGCACCGCTAAGGGTTGGAACCTCGGATTAGGCCGTCGTAATTTTGATCTCAGTTTGAATTAGACGGGGGATCGATCGGAGAAATCTGTATTTCTCCATATATCATTATTATTAACATTATTGCTGTTTATGAGAAAACTGTCACATTGATTACGTTTCTTGAATATTGATTTGTTTTTGTTATTATGTTTTAGACGGATTTAGAGCAAATTTTAGAAGACCTGGGGAATCTGCTGAATACTACAGACCAAATATACATCGACCAAGCTGAACCTATATTCGATCAGGTATTTGAAGTTTTAGTCTCAATGAGTATACAATTATTTAGGTTTAAAGTTTGCAATAATTAAATCTTAAAGCCCAAATATAATGTGACCAATTTATAGTGTTTAAAGCAGGCAAATTTTTTTCCATGGTAAAATTTTTCCGAAAAATTCTATAAAAAAAATTCGAAAGAATTCAAAACATATATATTGTACATTTTGAAGTCTTTAGAAAACAATTAATTATTACATTAAATAGAGGGGTAACGTGAACTAATTATTCCATCGCTGTCAATATAATTCTCCACGCAGTGCCCTCTGGAAATCATAGTGATTAATTCCTGGTGAATTTGTTACGATGGGCCAACTGATCTGATCTCAAGCTCATCTTATCATCCTCAACTGGTGTCCCGCTAGCATAAACCGTTAGCGCAGTCAGATGTACCATTCCATAATCATTCATTAAAAATCCAAAAATATACTAAATAATGATAAAATTTGTAAAAGAACACTATGAACTAAAAAAGGACTAGCAATGAGAGAACTGCGTTCAATAGTTATTATAATAAAGAAAATATAAATTACTACTGAGAAAGTTTTAAAGATGGTGATGTGGTGACACATGAATGTGGATGGTTATTAGGGCAGAGGGAGGCCGAAAAAAGATGGATGGACGGTGTGAAAGATGATATGGTAAAAAAGGTTGAGTAAATAACGATATGACTGCGAACAGGGATGAATGGAAGAGAAAATCATATGCCGACCCTAAATATATGGGATAAGGAAGAAGCAGATGATGATACTTCAGGAAGAGAACTAAGTGCAATACTTACTTTAATGATAAAATTAAAATTTATTTGGTAGATTGATCGTCATTTGAGTATTGGTGAAGAAGTGTTCCCCGCTAGAATTCTACATTTGCTCGATGTACTTGGATCTAGAATATATGTTCAAGACTTTGAAACTGATAGGCTAATAAGGAATAATATAGCATTAATGGTGGCTGATGCTGATCCCGATTCAAATCCTGTAAGAGGGCTTACAATAGAATCAGAAAACGATGGTTTTATGGGCAAACAGTTGGACTTCTTACGAGGTAGCGTTGATTCAAATATTTTTGTGTGAACATGATATGTTTTGTTTAGATGCTAAAGCATCTTTATAAAGTTAAATATTACTTATTATCTTTGATCATATTTTTATTGCTAATAATTAAAATATCCTTAATTGGTTTGAAATACTCGATGGTCTAGCGGTTTAGTATACCGCCTTACTTTCTCTTACTTTCTATGATTGCGGGTTTGATTCTTTGCACAGTACAAACATTTTTGTTCATGAGTATTATTATTATTATAGAGGCCATACGCTATATGCATGAATGTGGTCAATAAAAATTTAGCGTTACTAGTTTTTACAAGTTTTTCGGTAATAGAAATGGATTTAGTGTACTACCAACCAGTAGTAATTTCAAAGAATTTTAAAAATGGACAAACTTTCGAGAGACATACTAAAAGTATGTCTCTCGAAACTTAAGATATGTATTATGTTTGATAATTTCCTCATCATCTAATTAAAATTATAGTAACAATAATGTTTTTTTTTAACACAGATGAAGTCAACGCAGCTATATTAGATTCAGATATACACGAAGTCGTAGTGAATCTGGCACCGTCGCTATTAAGTACACGGAGACATATAAGTTTTGTGGTATTATACAATGGTAACGCCTTCCCCCGTGAAGACGAGTTTACCATTAACAGCCGAGTGGTCAGTGTCAATATTATGGATTTACCCCAGACCAGAAATGGAGAGGTAAATTAAATTATTAATATTTTTTTTGTTAACAGTTTTCTTTCCAGCTCTGCTCCTACTGACTGCTAATAGCGTAGCTTTTTGTATTATCAAAATATCTTTATTCATGTAGGTCTATTACAGACTCTTATGATGTGTCAAATCTACCGTCGGTTCAGAATGATTTCGAGATGAGAATAACTGACAAGAAACTCAGCTCGTATTATTTTCAAATAAACGTTGGACATGTTTACAATAATACATATTAATTTTTAAATTTAAATTTGGGAGAATAGAGTGACCACCAGCAAATGCTATTGCAAAAGCAAATAGTCAAATCAGTGTTTGTAACCCGAACAGATCAGACCCCACATACCGGATCCGCAATAAGATTACACAGTGATATAAAATGTAATTATCGTTGTAACCTGTACAAAGTACTAACTAGGTAACTATGTCTCACATATTTCAGCCGCTAAGTAGCTTGTTTTGTTAAACATATTTTGGTCAAAGGGGCAATGCATTAGTGGTATCCCCCTCCGATCGATACCCCGTCCAATTCAGACGGGGATCGAAATTACGACGGCCTGAGCCCCTACCGGTGCCCTCAGACTAAAGTTTATCGTATAGTATCCGTCAGGTGAGAGTTGACCTTCAGCCGCTCCATAAGTTCTTCCGTGGGTTTGGAGTGCCATCTGTACTTATCGTCCGCTGAAGCTATGAAGGCCAGCCGAGGCCAACATTATTAGAATAGTCCGAAAAAAAATTGTGGTACTAGCATCATCATATTATAATGTTATGTCCCCGATTATTCTATTCTGTTTGCGTATTTAGGAGACGGTTATCTCCTACTGACAACTTGTGATAATATTTGTTATTCTCTTTTCACAGTTGGTAGACATACATTTGAGTCCTTTGCATCTCCCTGAACAAGACAGGAGGCGATCTTGCGGTTATTGGGAGTATCAAGAGGACAGCACTGGATATTGGTCGCAGGAAGGCTGTACCTTTATTCCATCAGATAATCCAACAGTTTTAGACACGTGTAGATGCGATCGGATTGGACGATTTGCACAAATTGTGACATCGCAACCAACATTTTCTAAATCTAACGAGAATGCATTACAAGCTATTACTTTAACTGGTAGCAGTTTATCTATTATTGGTGCTATATTTATTGTAATTACAGCTTTATTGTTCAGATCATGGAGATTAACTTTCCGTAATCAAGTTTGGGTTCAGCTCAGCATTGCGTTATTTATATTATCCGTTTGCTTCATAGTCACTGCTTCTGTAAGATACGTCGAATATAGTGTATCATGTTTACTCACTGGTATATTTATGCATTACTCTGTACTGGCCTCATTTTGTTGGATATTAGTAGTGGCTGTAATAGCATACAGAGACTTAGTTATAATTTCAAGACATGAAAATACGCGAAAGATGACAGTAGCGTCAAGTTTTTCTTGGGGAGTACCTGTAGTATTAATGATGATATATGCATTAGCAGCTGAAGAACCGTATGCGATGCGTTTTGCAGAAATGACACCTAGTGGAAGTTTCTGCTATCCGTCGGGACTTGGTTTATGGTTATCAGTATATACACCCATAGGTGTCATATTGTTGGCTAATGTCATTCTGTTCTTCTACATAGTCGGATACATTTCCAGAAGCGTCTATATTCCGAATGAAGAAAATGCTAAGAAAGCCATTAAAAGTTCTCGCATAGGATTTGGCCTTGTCATTCTGTTCAGTTTGGCCTGGGTATTTGGCATTTTCGCTTACAATATTGTCACAGCCTATCTATTTACTATCACAGTCACTATACAATGTTTCATTCTGTTTATATTTGTAGTATGTGGTGATAAAGATACGAGAGACCTTTGGCTTCATAAATTGAAATTAAAATCAGATTCTACACACAACTCTCAACATTCTAGACATCTTACTTCATCGTTTTATTAATACTTAAATTATAATCAATGAATTATATTTAATAATGAATGTACTAGTATAAACTTATTTATAGAAACATTTATCTACCTTGTTAAAACATAGATCTAAGAAGAACTAATGCTTGTATAAAAATAAACCAATATACAGTAAATACAATAATAATATGTCACAATTTAATTGTAATAATCGTAGCCGGTAAGTATTTTCAAGAAAGAGGCAAAAAGATCTGCTTTCAAATACGTATAGTATTATTAGAAGTAACAAATAATATAAACTAATGTAAATAATTCCAGTCATAATAGTTTAAGTGTTGTTAAGTGTTGTTGATTTTTATTAATAACTTTAATATGCACAATTTGTACTCTAGAGTTAACGTTATAAATATAGAATTAAGCTTGTTATTGTTACTTAATATTTGTTCGTAATTTTATAATGCTAATATTTAATTCAATTATATCTCGTTGTTTTTTGTTATATTAATCAATATTAAATCATTTTTAGTAACTTATTCTCACGGTTGTAGCTGAAAGTCAGTTATGTAAGTATATATAATTTTTATTTAGCAATGTAGCATTTATTATATTATTTAAGTTTGTTTCTTGTAATTTGTACCTAAATGTTTGTATTGAGATGCAAATTTATATACTATATCAATGTTTTCAAATCTTATTGACTGCTCAGAGCTAGAATAAAGTCTAAGGGACTGCACAATAAAGTTTTTCTAATTGTACGTGTATGGCAACACTTTCTTAATGGTTGTGTTGCCATGTTTTTGTATACTTTATTAGGTTGAGTATCGAAACGGTTATAAAGACGCGACCAGTTATTTAAGACGGCGCCTCGCAAATATTGACCTAAGAAACCTCAATTTTTCTCAGTAATTACAAATCCTTCGGGGCTGATATTTAGCTATTTCATTTTTCACATCTTTGACATCTTTACTTTTCTAACTTCTTTACTTTACATTACTTACTTAAAATCTTACTTTCTTTTTTAATACATTGACATCATATTTACAGTTCTCGTTACATGATTGATTAACTTTTGTAGTAGAGAAAAAAATCTCAAAGATTGGTCTTATAAAATACATTTTTAATTTCTATATGTAAACGGGACTGATTTAAAACTCGAATTTTCCAATGTACATTATACTAAATACACTCTTAAATAGAGTCATTCAGATATATATAATAACCAATAGTTTTTATTTTAAACAAGATAAAGTGTTTTTCCACAAAAAATCTCTTGCTCACAAGTTGTTTTGTATGAGAGTTAGACCAAGTCAGTCAGTCCCCGGCCCCTGCCAATGTTGGACTTGTGCTTAGCGCGGATAGCCCGCCTGAGAACGCGCGCTATCCAATCGTAAATTATTTCGTCTCACTATACACGCTGTATTATCTTGCGGGTGACAGTTACTAGTTTTACATTTAACAATTACTGCATATAAGTTAATACAGTTATTAATGACTTAATATATTACGAATGTAATACTAAGTCATAATTTGTAAATCGCGGCAACTTTTAAAAGTGAAACGTAACATTAACGAAACTCACCCGTACCATGCTATAGCGCAGATCGTATAGTGACAATTAATTATTAAAAAAGAAAGAATGATTTTTAGTATTTTTAAAAGGAAAACTTATTTGAGAGAACAATCGAAGGAAATGGTTAAGAAAATATAAACAAATTTTACATTATTTTTATTTCGTAGTTATTTATAAATAAAAATGTAGTACTCCCATTATCTATACATCTATACATATAAATAAAATTGGAGTGTTTGTTTGTAATATTGAAATAACCGTCTTTTACTAAATGCATATGAATATAAATACGGTACATACACCAAAATATCATTTTTTACTAATTTTATCGTTCTGTCTGTCAGTTTGTTCCGGCTAATCTCTGAAATGGCTGGACCAATTTTGACGGGACATTTTGGACAGGATTGTAAATGTACAATACTTGTTAGTTTTATACTAAAAAAACGAGAAAAAAAAATAGAAACCTCAAGTAACCCGATTTTTCCTAACCCATTTTACTTGTTCAATTTGTTTCGTATTCGCACAAGCTCTTGGTAGGTTCTTAATTTTACGGCAAAATGATGAGAGAGATGGTAGTGGACATGTTTGCCGTGAGCGAGCGAGGCAGATAGTGTGCCACGCAGTGAGACGGAGATGCGTCGTTTAAACGCATGCGAATGAAACAGATAGTCGCCATACCAAGCAAATGGCTACGCTGCCAGGCTGACACCAGTTAGTATCCAAAAGCACAGCACATCGTATTTTACAAAGATCCGAAATGCATCCGTTCCACGTACAACGAGTTCAAATTCTTCTTCCTCGATATTATCCCGAAAGGATTTCATTTTGTAGAATAATTGTACGGAGGCATACTGAAAATTTCCAATTCATCCAAAAAATTCTCTCTGGTCAGATGAATCTACACTTTAAAAATTGTGTCAGTTTGTGTAATACTTACATAAACTTACACAATTTAGTTACACAAGTGCGGTAATATTCATTATACTAAAGTCAGCCGCATACTCCTTTCCTTTGAAATGTTATAAAAAAGTGTACATTTTCCAGTTGAATAAATAATTCCATTGTAATAACGAATTTCATAGGAATAAACCACTTTATTTCTTCAATAATACATATATAGAATTCTCGTGTCACGGTGTTTGTAACAAAACTCCTCGGAAATGGCATGACCGATTTTTATGATATTTTGTAAGTATATTCAGTAGGTCTGTGTAAACTATTTTTCATACCCTTAAGTAATAAGGATGCTCCGCCTAAATTTCTTTTAATTAATAATATGTCATTCATTTATAATTTAAGAGCCAGGCTCTTTTCGATGGAACTCGTGCCACTTTCCACGATCTTCCATCAGGCTCTTTAAATATTGATATGAAACTATTTTTTCAAAAATATGTTTGATGTTGTTATGCCTTGGTTTTCCCCTCTTGCATAAATATGTACAAATCCAAATATTCACCTTTCTACCATCGACTCAATTTTTTAATAGCAATAGATAAAGTAGATAACCGAACAGCGTGTGCGCAATCAAAAGCAAATTTATTAAAAAGATAGGCAAATCAATTAATATTTATCGATTTACTCGAATTATATGGAATGCAATTATTTCATTACGTTCACTTGCTGCGGTACGGTTCGGATGGATCTATTTCTGTATTCTTAGTATAGTATCTATAGTATTTACGACTCAAATTTGTTTTATTGTGCGTATATATCCCACTAATGCAGTTTTATGATTACCATTCGAGAACATTGAGTGATACTAATTAATTCTAGTAAAAGTGTATTTTGCGATGTGTATGTTTTGTGCGACTGATATTAAAATGTTTATAAAATTGTGACAGTGTACATTATTTAGTTTTAGTGATACATCAGTTTTTTTGGTATTCTACTCTTTAAGTTATAGTGATTTTTAAAGCCTTAAATGTGAGTATTATTATTTTTTTTTTATTTATTAGGTCTACAAAACTGGATGTCTTACATAGTACATAACTTAATACACATAAAACAAACTATTTAAGTAACACATATTTGATGATAGACACAGCATGCATAACTTAATTTTTACACACACAAAATGACACTATACAATACACTGTTTCAATTTATTGACCGATAATAAGGTAAGGGATGTCAATCGTGTGCTTGAACTTGAACTTCTAAAGTATTATTTATATGTTTATTTGTTTGCAGAATAGTGTTACAAGTAGGTCTTACAATATGATTATTCGTGCAAAGTATTCAGCCTGCATACACACATGCAAAATTTATATACATTATTATTTTTAAGAATCGATTTTTTTTAATAATTGCTATAATTAAATTAAATTGTTTGTTTGACAACAAATAAAATTATTTTATACGTCAAAAAAATCCTTAATACTATAAAAACATTTTTCCAATAACCAATTATAAAGTCTACATTTAAAAGTCTAAAATGTTGCATATTTATGTCAGTTGGTAATTTATTTTAAATTTTAATCATCATGTTGTACCTTTTTTTTCTTTATATTCTATTATTGCTGGACATAGGCCACCCCCAAAGATCTCCATGACGATCGGTCCTGCGCTGCTCGCATCCAATGCCTCCCACCGATCTTGACCAGATCGTCAGTCCACCTTGCTGGAGGCCTATGTCCAGCAGTGGACGTCTTCCCGACTGCGATGATGATGATAATGATGATTCTATTATTAAGAAAGATGTTGTAATTCTGTAGTATTTTTCTCGTGTTTGACTGATCATTGGTATTTTTATATATTTTTCGTGTTAGGACTGGTAATTTGATATTTTTTTATTGAGGTTTTTGGGCTATTATCATGTGCTAAGACCTGTAACACTGCGACCTGTATAGATCTATTATGGTCGCTCTTTTAAGGAAGATGTTACTGACAGATGTACGGATGTTTAGGTTTTGTGACATTAGTATCCAAAATTCTTTATTTAGGTAACACAATTTTATCTACATTCTATAGTTGTTGGAGACTCCTTATAAGCATAGAGATGCCTGTGCCAGGAAGCTCCTCTTCCATAGCTTATATCATGCATAACTTTTGAAAACTATTTCCAAAATTATAATATTATAATATATTTAATTATAATAATTTTAATTTGTTACTAGTATTTACATAACCTAATTGTACAATTAAGAACCTAAAATTAAAAAGCTTAAAAAATATATAATATGATGACTAAAATATATTATTAAAAGGGGTCCCTTTAGGCAACGTTCCGAAGATACTGGCAGCGTTCCCTCTTTGAATAGCTAGACTAATTCTTTGTCCAAGGTAGCTGCCAGCTCTTCGGTCTTCTGTGATGTCGATTTTTATATATAATTCAATTTCAAAAGGTGGAATGTGTTATCTGCCAAATTTCTACACTTTTTAAACGGGGTACATGTTGTATCTTATTATAATTGTATATGTGGAATTATTAATAAATATTTATTTATTTTTATATTATTATTATATTATGCAATTATTACTGTTATAGAACTTACCTTCAGGTTTAAAATTTCTTTATAATAATAATAATACATCAGGACAATTCCCACAGCGTCATCTAGTCCCAAGCTAAGCAGAGCTTGTGTTATGGGTACTAGACAACTGATATAAACACATTTTTTTATATACATAGAGAACATCCAGACCGATATAAACAATCATACTTATGAACGCAAATGTTTGTACCGTGCGAGAAATCGTACCCGCGACCTTTGGAAGTGCGCTTCGATGTGCTAAACCGCACTTTACAATAATCAGCCGTAATACAACACAACATTTTTAACCAACCTCAAAAAAGGAGGAGATACTCAATTTGGCTGTATTTTTTAATGTTTAACATCGGCATATATAAGTCGACTTGTAAAAAAATATATTGAAACTACTAGATGAAACTACAACTTCATCTGCGTAAATAAGAAACCCTTACAACCATTGTTTTGGATTAAAAAGTAGCCTAGGTCCTTCCTCAGGCTCTGGACTATCCGTGTACCAAATTTAATTTACATCGGTTTATTAGTTTTGGCATGAAAGCGAGACAGACAGACATAGGTAATTTCGCATTTATAATATAAATAATGATTAGTTTAGTTGCAATTTAGTTCATAGAATTTTCGTCTTTACTTTTTTGAAAAAATGATCAGTACAAAAATGTGATATCATTGTTTTTAGTGTTGCAATCTGATGCCAATAGTTTGTCATCAAATTCGCCACATGTTTGTTTAATTATAAAGAAAGAAATTCAGTCGAGATCATTGCCAGTTGACTAAATTATAAATGTACTTGTCCTTCCCTGTTCATAATAGATAATAAAAATATAAAAGTGACTGATAAAGATAATTACTGAATTAATTCCATAAAAACAACTTCAGTCGTGACTCAATTAGACTGCAATTAACATGAATGATAAATATATATTAAAGTAATTTATAATACCTACGGGTACTTTAGCGAAGATGTATAAAAATATTAAAAATAATAATCTATAATAATCTCAGGACAATTCACACAGCGCCATCTAGACCCAGGTTAAGCTAGCTAAAGCTTGTGTTATGGGTACTGGATAACTGATACAAATACATAGATATTTTTTTTTCGTAAATACATATTATACATAGAAAACACCCAGACCGATCCAAACAATCATACTCATGAATACAAACGTTTGTGCCGTGCGAGGAATCGAACCCGCGACCATCGAACGTAATACGGTGTGCTAGACCGCTAGACAACCGAGGTCGTCAATACTTTCTATGCCAAGCTGTATTGAGTCGACTGGAAGAGATCTCTTCTAGAGTTAAGTCCTCCTTTGTTAATTTTAAATTATGTATCTAAAAAATTTATTTAAGTGCAATAAAGAATATTTAAATTAAAAGAAAATGTATGATTTAAAGTCGTATTCAACTAACGGTCTCGGTGGTGTACCATTTTAGGTATACCGTATTTACTTTCGATAGTCGCGGGTTAAATTCCTCGAGCGGTACAAATTTTTGTATTGATAAGTATGATTGTATGTGTCTCGGTATTTTCTATATATATTATGTATGTATTTGCTGAAAAAAGGTATTTAAGTATTTATATCACTTGTTTAGTACCCAGCATAGCTTGGGCTAGATGGCGCTGTGTGAATTGTTAAAAAACAAAAAAAAAAATAGCAATCTCACCTTTTTTAGTTGATTTAAAATATAATTCATGTAATATATATAAATTTATTTATAGTATAATATTCAATATAGTCGATTAAAATATAGATGCATATAATTTCGTTCATGTGCATGTGCATGTAATAGATGCATAAAATAAGTCATCTCATTAAATGTAATTTTAATATCTATGTACAATAATTTAATTTGACATTCGGTATCGTAGTTTCGTCGCAATATTTTAATTACATTAAGTTTCCAAACTATAACCAAACTCTATTAATTTTCTGATAAAGCCTCGTTTAGAGGCGAAACACGTGTCTCTATATAGGTGTAGATCTGATAAGGGTTGGAGTTTGATCGCTAGTGCGTAAGGTCACAACGCTTCCGGTAGCAGTGGTCAGGTTTCCGTACTGAATACTTGTTCTATAAATAAATAAATATATAATGCATAATCCTGAACAATTACCACAGCGCCACCTAGATCCAAGTTAAGCTAGCTAAAGCCTGTATTATGGGTACTAGATAAGTGATACAAATACATAGATTTTTTTTCGCAAATACAAGCAACAATCTTATTTATGAATACAAATTTTTGTGCCGTGCGAGGAATCGAACCCTCGATCATCGGAAGAAAAGTGGTGTCGTTTACCTCTAGACCACCGAGGCCGTCAAAAAATTCATTAAGCAATATAATAATTTCGTTTCAGATGCCGGTCCAACGGAAACTTTACTGCTATTTTATGTTCACTCTCATATTATGTGTTCATACAAATGCAAAAAATGAAACAGTAAAGATAGAATGTCCAATAGTGCAACACGGAAGCGGTCTCATGGAAGACAAAGATTGTAATAAGGATCTGGCTTGGTCCGATACAGACGTATGTAAAAAATTACAATATAGTATTACACACATGTAAATATTTACAATACAGTATTACACATATGTTAAAATTTACAATACAGTATTGTAATGTTAACTATGAAACTGAAAACATTGTATACTTTATATAGAAACTAGCTTTTACCCGCGGCTTCGCTCGTATAATTTCATTACTGGATGCCGCTGATTCATTACAACTTCATTACCAACTGCTAGATGACGCTAAAGTAGCAAAATGTTGATATTTTATTTTTTTGCATTTATAAAATATATATATATATATTTTAATAAAAAGTATCCTATGTTATATATATTTTTTTTTATCTCAGGACAATTCACACAGCGCCATCTAGACCCACGTTAAGCTACCTAAAGCTTGTGTTATGGGTACTAGATAACTGATACAAGTACATAGATATTTTTTTTCGTAAATACATACATATTATACATGGAAAACACCCAGATCGATACAAACAATCATACTCATGAATACAAATGTTTGTGCCGTGCGAGGAATCGAACCCGCGACCATCGGACGTAAAGCGGTGTGCTAGACCGCTATACCACCGAGGTCGTCGATTTATATAGTCTTGTACCTTCAAGAACATGTGTTCAAAATTTCATGATGATGGTTCAGTAGTTTTTGCGTGAAAGTGCAACAAACATCCCTTCTTTCACATTTATTATATTAGTAAGGCTATGTAATATTATGTTATCTGTGGTGAGGCTAAATATAAATTTACTTTAATGATAGCAATTCTATTCTAATCTAAATTCGAAAAGAACACTTGATTTGCAGAATTTTCTTAAGCAATTTCAATAACCGCAGTTTTTTTTCGGGCTACTGTAATGCTGTTGGCCTCACCTGGCCTTTACAGCTTCACCGGACGATAGAGAGCGAATGTAGATGGCACTCCAAACCAGCGGAAGGACTTATGGAGCGGCTGAAGGCTCTCACGAGACTCTCAAGAAACTCTCACCCGACGGATACGACTTTAGTCCGAGGGCACCGATGCTATGGGTTCGAATCACGGCTCAGGTTATCGTAATTCAAACGGGAATTGGAAGGGGGTTCGGTTGTTTATCGGATTACCTCCGATGGTCGCAGGTTCGCTTCCTAGTACGGTACATACATTTCTATTCATGAATATAGTTGGTTGGGTATTTTTTATGTATATTATGTATACATTTACAAAAAAATGTATAGGTATTTGTTACAGTTGCTTAGTACTAAGTTGTGATTTGCCAGTAAGCCGACCGATTTCTGATGAATTTGGTTTGTTTTGGCCGTTATCGTTATTGGAATGTCAGTCAGAAATGTTAATTAAGACTCAAAGTTATCTGATGTTAGATTTAAAGTCAAGAGTTTTTGTGTTCAATATATTGGAATACTATAAAGTACTATGTCGTAATAGGTTCTTACTATTATCTTTTTTCTTTGAATACTGTATTAATATAATGTATTGTTTTAGTATATGGAATACGATGAGTTATTGATAGTGAACAACAGCAAAATCTCCAATTTGGGTGATTTATCAGATATACACGTCGTGCAAAAAGTCGCAGCAAAAAAATCAGGTATAATATTATAAATAAATAATCTTAATAGCACGCTTGAAGAATCAGAAAGAATTACATAGTGTTTATTTGAATATTATCTAATTAGAAAATCTATCATAATTAGAAACCAAAGATGATGAATGAAAGACGACGAAATGTGAATATTGAGATGGATGTGTGGTATGACAAGCATGGATAAGATAAAGACACAGATGTACACATTTGAGGAACTCAAAAGTAACGTTTTGTCTTGGTATGGATGTATAACGGTATAATGCGCAGGAACAAAGGAGAATGTTTGACAGAAGGTGTTTAAAAATTTGAATGAATGTAAGGGTAGAAGAAGATATAAAAAGAGTTGGATGGAATGTCTTAAAGACGATATGGTGATAAAAGTAGTGATTAACTTATTAACATCTCGATGAGTATGAATGAATATAAAAGAAAGCGCAAAAGGTAATACGATAAAATTGAAAGAGAACAGGGTCTTCCACGACAGTGCCGTGGGCTGGGTCATTGGGCTCTCTAAAATATGATACAGTGCAACGATGCCTGGCCTAGCCGTTGTATTCGTGAACGCGTGATGCTTGTAGGGACTGGTCTGCACTGTTAACTATGACTGATTTATTTTGTTACTCAATTAGTAGTATTTATTTATTTTAATAGCAAGATTGACTGCTAGTTAGCAGTTTGTATTCGCACAAAATCTTTAATATGTAATGCTGAGCAACATTTATTTAAAAGAGTAACTATTAAATTTCTTTCTTGTCCTTGTGATGAATCTGATTTGCGAATGAGCGGTAGAATCGAAGAAGTATTATATGACTATTCAAAAGTGCTTGTATTAAGTTCCAATAAAGATTCAAATTTTCAAATTCAAATTCAAAATATCTTTATTCATGTAGGTCTATTACAGACTCTTATGATATGTCAAATCTACCGTCAGTTCGGAATGATATCGAGATGAGAAGAACTGACAAGAAACTCAGCTCGTAATTTTTTTCAAATAATAGTGGAACATGTTTATGATAAATACAGTTATTAAAATTCAAATTTGGGAGAATAGAGTGACCACCAGCATATGCTATCGCAAAGAACAAAAAATTTAATCAGTGTTCACAACCTGAACAGACCAGTCCCCACAAGCAGCACCCGTTCACGAGTATGACGTATGAGCCAGCCATCATTGTACTCAACCATATTTGAGGGAGCACATCGACCCGGCCCACCACGCCGCCACAAGTTTGAACTTTATAGCGAGCATGACTGTTTCAGGTTACTCCACTACGTCAATTATATTATTTACAGCATAGGCTGTACCGATCACAGTTTTCAGATTCTCTTTCTATTTCAAGATACAATCAACAAAATATAACCGATATAACTGTTGCAGATACATTCGACGCCATATTCTCTGGAGTTACTGACGATGATGAATCTAGTGGATCGATACCTCCACCGCAGGTATTATAGAACAAACTTTTTTCTATGTAACTAAAATAGGAAATAAGTCATGGAACCGCGTATATGGACAGTGGTAACTGTGGCTTTCATAGAGAAACAATGGCACGAGCATCAAGCAATGACCATGATACTGCTCATTTGTTACTATTCCAGAGTCCTACAAACTGGAGCATAATTTACGAAATAGCTATATAGTGACAGGAATAGGCCGGTCAAAACAACTCATTAAAATGACTTATGTATATTACGTCTCCTCGATTATTTCTATACCTCTTTTTCATTGTTTAAATAAGATTAGTGGAGACAGGTTTTAGTTAAACATTAACATCTTGATATTTCAAAAAAGAGTTGAGACAGATTTCAGAATGTCATTAACTTCTCGATTTTTCAAAGAATAGAAGAATGAGATTTACAGCCTACAATTTAACTTTTGACTTTAGATAAGTCAAAAGATCGACGTGCCTGTTTGTCCATATATTATTTCACGCTTCCTGTGTGAAATGAAGAGACTAATTTTATGTCGTGATTTGTTTTTGTTATGTAATATAATAATTAAATTACACTTATACAGGTAGAGGACATTATAAATGATCTTGAGAATATGCTGAACGGAACTGACCCCATACATATAGAAGATGTCGATCAGATATTTGATCAGGTAGGTTTTTTATTATACTTATTAACACTGTTTGTAAATTAATAGGAATGAAACTGTAGTGTAAATACAAAAAAAAACATTTTTGTGGTATTTCACAAACATCCTGAAATGACGTGTTTATAAAAAATGTACAAAAGACTACTGATTTTTGTTGATTAGATTGTGAAAGATAACAATTACGTCAATATTGTGAGAGATAATAATCGTTTAAATCGCCTTTTGAAAATTTCAAACTAACCGCTATCATACAATTTTATGATATATGAAAATCCACATTCTGATAGGCAACACAAAAGAATTGAACACAACCAGAGTGTGTTGAGGTTCATGTGTGTTTTCTATCAGATTTGCATTTAAATTTGAAACCACAACCTGTAGTCAATCCTTAATCTGTTCCATTAAGTTGGATACATTGTTTCGATTTAAAAACTATACTACTGTACCGATTTCGATTAAATTTGTTATTAGACGTAATTCTAATGACAATGATTATAAGCGGTAACCGTCACTCATATACATGAACAGCTGTAATCACGGACATCATGTTGTCAGGTCATACTGATGCGTTGCTATTGCAGCTATGCCTTTTGTCCTATAATTTCACTGATTACTCTGACCCTATAACCAAAACACACAACTTGGTGGCTGAAAGAGGTGAGAGAGTTTTGGTAAACGTATACTTGATGACGCATACCGTATACAAATATTCTGGAGTAACTTATATAACATAATGGACAGTAGGGGGTAGTTCTAAAAAAATGACGTGCATAAGAGGAAGACATTTAATTTCAATTTTACTTTTAATGAAAATTCAAATCTGGTACCCTCCGATCGATCAGCATTCAATTCAAACGGAGATCGATTGGACGACGGTGTGAGCTGAGATGTGAACACCTAGCAATGCCCTAAGACTAAAGTCGTATCCGTCAGGCGGGAACTGGTCTTCAGCCTTCGGTCTATAAGTCCTTCCGAGCGTGCCATCTGCACTCGTTTCCTATCGTTCCATGAAGCTGTAAAGGTTGGAGGCTGAAGCGGCTAACAGTATTAGACTAGTTCGACACAGCTAGTGTACATTATAATAATAATTTATTGTTATTTTATAGATCGAGGATCTTCTCAGTGGAGAAACGGAAGCATTCCCCGGTGAGCTAATACAGTTGCTCGAAAGACTTGGCTCCAGTGTGAATCTCGAGTCCTCCAATTCTGATATGATAGTGAAGAGTAACATAGCGTTGATGGTGGCCGATGCTAACTCTGATTACTCTGTGAGAGGACTCACAGTATCAGCAGAGGGTCAAAACTTCAATGATAAGGAATTGAAGTTTTTAAACGGTAAGTATTTTGAAATTTTACAAGATAGAATTTCCGTCATTTGTACGCTTGTTCGGTTTAAATTTTGCAACTGACTTTTTCTATAGTTATCCTTAACAATTGAGCTGAAAACTTTTATACACATTTATTTTGGATACCAAAACATGGTCAAATAAGTATTGTAAAGCCAAAATATTTATGCGAGCGCCCAATAATTATGTGCAAGCACGATACTTATTTGATTTTTCATGGAGAAGAACAGACCTGGACAAATTGAATCCTATTTCTGTTGTACTGAGTCTACTCTACGATTTTACGGTTTTGTTATAATGCACATTATATCGATTTCCAGACCTAGACACATCGATATGTAATTATCAGGATTTTCGTAGGATGGTAGTAGATTATTTAAGAAGTGTATAAAGTTTGGATTGTTTCCTTTTAATTGTTCATGTAATCTTCCTAAGCGAGCATATTGGGAAAGTGTTCGCTTACAATGATGTAAATAAATAAATAAAAGGCAGAATTTTCGACACGCTTAAATACTACTTTCACGGTAATTATCCCAGTCATCATCATCATCATCACAATTGACTACATACAATTAATTGGAATTGTTTTTTTTAATACAGGTAACGTCACCGAAGACATATTAGATTCAAATTTAAATGAAGTTGTCGTGAATCTCCCGGAATCACTATTGGATGGCCCAAAACGTATAAGTTTTCTATTATTTTCCGATGGCAATGCCTTACCTTACGATGGGGAGTTAGCAATTAACAGCCGAGTGGTTAATGTTAATATTCGGGAACCGACCCGAGTAATGAATGGAGAGGTAAGTTTATAAATGTTAGATACTAGCTGACCTGCCCTACTTTTACTACTTGTCTAAGCTATATTACTGTAATGTGTCATCAAAATCCGTTCAGTAGTTTTGGTCAATTTAAAAGTCCTCATATTAAGTTTATTTGAATAAACATTATTTCTATTTCTTATATTGCATCATACATTGTTTTTTAATGAAATTGGAATAGTAAATAAGCTTATTGCCCATCTGATGCAAAGTGGTATAAGCCAGTTTGTCCATATATACAAATACAAGCTCTGCTTAGGTTGAAACTAGATAGCGCTGTGTGAATTACACTGGGTTACTATTGTAATTGTATTACCCCAATACAGTATTTAAACTGAACCAAGAACTGCAAGCTGCTGCTGGTGGTAGAAATGTCTATACCTAACGATCAAAACATGATTTGCGGTTTTTAATATACACAGAGAGACACCCAAAATATTCAAAACAAAGACCTATAGGACACAAAGTAGGATAGTGTGCTGTATGGGACACAGTTACCTACATACATCAAAATAATAATTACATTTAATAATGTCTAGTAAGACAAATCCAACATTGTATACTAAGAACTGCCGTGTCTAAACTGTGTCACCCCACCTTACATATTCCTATTGTCATTTAGTATATAAGATCAATATTCTTATGTACATACAGTCAGTCTATTATCATCTATAATATATATTGTCTCGACCAACAACATCGTATTCATTTACCCGCAACATGCTGTATCGCTAGACCACCAATGTGTCGTTATGCTTTTGCCCTTTGAAAGAATAGAGAAAGAAAGAAAGAAATTTGTGATTTCATTTTAACAAAACAGTCTTATTTCTTTTTTCTTATTAATTTTCTTTGTAGTTGTATTGTTTTGTTTTTATTTTAGTCCACTAGGCTCAATAAAATTAAGAAAAAAATTTTCGGCACTCAATGGCTATTGTAAAAATTACTTTTATTTGTATATTTATATGTTTTTATAACGACTATTTGTTGGCAAAATAAAGAGAAAAAAAAACATAATATTTTTTTACTTTTGTTTGGCAGGTAGTAGACATTCATCTGAAGCCTTCAATAGTCCCAGAAAGAAATAGAAGACGATCTTGTGGTTATTGGGAGTACCTGGACGATGCTACGGGACATTGGTCGCAGGAGGGTTGTACGTTTATCTCCTCACAGAACTCAGCCCAATTAGACACGTGTAAATGCGAACGTATAGGACATTACGCTGAAATTTTGGTAGCATTACCTTCGTTTTCTGAAACTGATGATAATGCATTAAGAATTTTATCAATAACCGGTAGCAGTTTATCTATTTTTGGGGCTATCATTATTGTGTTTACAGGAATTTTATTCAGAGTCTGGAGATCTGATAGTAACAATCAAGTTTGGACTCATTTGACTGTTTCTTTATTCATTATGTCTGTTTGCTTTTTGGTCACTGTTTCCGTTAGATATATAGAATATAGTACATCATGTTTAGTTACTGGTGTCTTTCTTCATTATTCGGTATTGGTCTCATTCTGTTGGATATTTGTGGCGGCTATAAACTCATGTAGAGATTTAGTTGTATACTCTAGTCGTTCATCTCATAGCATTGCAGTAGCTTCTATTTTCTCCTGGGGATTTCCAATAATACTGATTGGTATATATGCAATAGCGGCTACGGAACCGTATATAGACCTTTTTGAAGAGAAGACACCAATAGGAAGATTCTGTTATCCATCTGGTTTAGGGTTGTTACTATCAGTTTATATACCAATGGCTGTGGTGTTATTGATAAATGTTATTTTATTCTTTTATGTGGTAGGTGTTGTGTCTAAGAATGGGCATATTGAGACAAATAGTAATGCTCAAGAATCAATTAGAAGTTCACGTTTGGCGTTTGTATTTGTTATTATTTATAGTGTACCCTGGATATTTGGATTTTTCGCTAACAATCTTGTACTAGCCTATATGTTTACTATAACGGTGTCTATTAAATGCTTTATTCTGTTTATTATATTAGTGTTTGGGGTTAAGGGTACAAGAGATCTATGGCTTTATAAATTGAGTATAAAATCATACGCTAGTAACCAACCACCTTCAAGACAGCTGCGACGTAGCTATAATTAACATGTGATTTAAAATAGTGTATCCATTGTATATGATTTCTTGATTTGTAATATATGTTTCTGTAGCATTTATATTACATACATTTTTCTTTAAAACGTTCTCAATTTCGTTATAACTTAGTTTTAAGCCAGGCTGAGTTATAAGAGTCGATCCCTCTTGTTTTTCTGCTCTTATATATTTTGTATGAGTGTAATTGTATATATAAATAATTCAGTTTCTTTGTATATATGTATATCTACGTTAAATGTAACATTTATAATTCTGTATTTAAACTGTCATTCTGTGATCTTCGTATTATTAGTTTAAACTAGATTAGCTACCAGCGACTTCAATCGCGCGAATTTGTTTTTAATAAATGTTATTAAATAAATGTAGCTCAAATTATTCCTTATAAAATGCGAGTGACCTGCGATTTAAAGTCCCGACAAAATTGGTCTAGATTTTGGAGAGATTAGCTAGTACAAAGAGACAGACTGACAGATTAATAAACAAATTAATTTATTTTCGTACAGGGAGCGTATAAATCCTCATTTTGCCATGTTTCGTAAAGTGTACTATGGCATCTATAGTGAACCAAGTCATAACAATATTGTGCTCGGAAATAAAAAACGGACGGTAGGGAAAAATTATAATACAATAAGAAAATTACATTCATAAGCGGCTAAAATGTCCTACATGAATAAATTATTTTTTAATTTGTATCAAATGGTAATGTTTACCATTACCTTTTACAATTAACATTACCGAGCACAATATTGTTATCACATGGTATGAAAGGTAAAACTGTCGTTATATAGTATTCGGTGCTACCTGTGTTTTTACTTATGTACATAGATATAGAGTCCCATATACCATTATTTATTATTCCAACTTACCACGTCTCAACTACTCTGCAAAACAAACGGCGTGAACTGAGAAAAAGAGAGAAAGTGTCTTCTAATGAAGCTCTCTCTTCAACAATTATTATATGCACAGAAAGAAGACATAAAGAGATCTGTTGTTATTTATGTTGTGTTATTATTTATTGTAATCACTGAATAAATATAAAATAAAATATCTAAGTTACATATAGTAATGTAGGTTAAATATTTAAAGTAATATTGTACATATTAATTATTATTATTATTCTTTATTATTAATAAGATCTAGTACTATCTTAAAGCAATATTTTCGAGGACTGTATATTGTCAAGTTAAGTCTTTAAAATAATGTTTTCGAGATACATCTTGAAAATACGTATTATCTAAGTATTACAGTAAAATTAGTACATACCTACTTTCTTGTATCCTCTTAGTTAAATCTAAGCTGATAACATGACAGTAGTAACAAGACGAACTTTTAATAATGTTTATAAGTTTATATAAACATCAATTATACGTCAATATCTTCGCGTCTTTCGTTCTTCTTTAAAAAATGTGTTTATAAGGCTAGCCTTATAAATACAGTTTTTATTATACCTTGAACGATTATATGGGTGTAATTAGTATAAGTATGTAATTTGTACAAATTATTCTAAAAATAATTTAAGGTATTATATCTGTATATAGTAAGACAAACGACATAGATTATATAAATATGTGCATATATAAACCGTTGTATCTACTTATTATTCAAATATCAACGATATTTATACAAATACATATTGTAGATATAAATAATTATTTTCAGTAAACAAAATACCCTTTCTACGCAGTAAGGCAGTGCTACGATGAACTGATCTAATTCCCAGATGCTATATTTTTATAGTTAGTCGGATATTAACATAGGTACAACGGGTTAAAATTATTGTGTGTGTATGTGTGTGTGTGTGTATGTAGTGTAGTGATAATAAGTATGTAAGTTAAATTAAAATAAAAATATATTATTATTGAATAAGTTCAAACCAAAGTTCCACAGCAACAGTCAATAAGTGTACGTATACCACGAGTGCTGTGTCTTGATCTTTTGTTGGACAATCTAGTGACGGTAGTTGAGAAAATTGCGGGCACCTACCGACATTCCATCGCTATACTCCAGTCAGCTCGTGATCACGGTTAGCGAAACCTAATTGAAACGTAATGTCTAATTATATATAACTCAAAGGTGTCTGACGTATTGATCTATCAACGCACAGCCCAAACCACTGGACGGATTGGGCTGATATTTGGCATGCAGGTAGATGTTATGACGTAGGCATCCGCTAAGAAAGGATTTTGATTAATTCTACCCCCAAAGGGATAAAATAGAGGATGAAAGTTCATATGAAACTTTGTCAATTTTAAACCGATCGGGCTGAGACTTTGCATGCATAAAGCTACTATGACGTAGGCATCTTCTAAGAAAGGATTTTGATAAATTCCACCCCTAAGAGGATAAATTAACGCGAGCGAAGCCGCGGGCAAAAGCTAGTTTATTATAAAATCATTGGGGTTAAGACTCGATACTAATAATTTGTATTAACCACGAAAGTTAAAAAAAGTATTACAATAAACCTTTTTTACTTGGAATCCTTTTTTAAATCGATCTAACGATAGAGGACAAGTGCCAGAGCGCACTCTATCATTTTGTGAATTTGTAAATGTTAGCTACGGTTAACAGCATTAGAATAGTAGGTAGATAGATAAAAAAAGGGATTCAAGTGGAGATCACACACCAAACTCTATTGAACGGATGTAGAACAATTCCTGGCAAGGGAGGTAAATTCCTCCCTTCATAATTACCGTAAAATTATTCGTGTTATGATCCAGATATAAATAATGTTTAAAAAAAGGTTTCGTTTAGAATTGTGTAAAGACATTTCATATTTATCATAGACGCTTACTGTTTTTTATACTTGTTAATTGCATTGCCACTGTTAAGGTAAAAAAATGATATAAATAATTTATTATTGTAATTTTTTTATCAATTGAATCATAATTACCTTTTGATATACATATCAAGATGCATTATCAAGAGAAATTAAATTAAATTAAAATTCCAATTCAATGATCGTTAATCCGACGTAATAACGTTAAAGTACGAGCCATAAATGAGTTTATATGTCTAATTCCTAAAGTACAGGTTAGGAACACTGATTAGACTTTTTGCCTTTGCAATAACATATGCTGCTGGTCACTCTATTCTCCAAAATTTGAATTTAAATGACTCTGTATTATTGTAAACATGTATATATACGAGCTGAGTTTCATGTCAGTTCTTCTCGTCTCGAAATCATTCCAAACTGACGGTAGATTTGATTTTATCATAAGAGTCTTTAATAGACCTACATGAATAAAGATATTTTGTATATGAATTTACACGGTTCATATATTACAATAAGTTAACACGTATACAGCGAAAATATACACTACCTTTTTATAATTGTCTGTAATAAATATGGTACTAGATTTGAGTCCTGAAATGAGTATCTAGACACGCGGTAGCGTGTCAAGCCGAGTTTCAAGTAAACTGGCAAGCAGCACCGTGTGTATATTTACACGAACCATTTGGAGCCACTTTTGACCCCCTCATAACTCAAAAACTCTTTCACACAAACCTGTCAAATTTGGTTCATATATTGAGACTTGCGAGATAAATATGTGTTCCAAATCTCATAAACATATCTCAAACGGTTATTTAGATATTAATGTCCAAAAATCGTCATTTTTATCACTGATCAACTATAGATCAAAATTATAACCCACTTCCAGATGACCTAGGAAGTTCAAATTTGGCATGCAGATAGGTAATTAGGTGAATATAAAGGAAAAAATGCGAAATATACTGTAGCCTTCGCAAGTTCTAAACATGTTACTTGTCGGTTCCTATTTTAATATTAGTAGTAACTAGCAATCGAAAGTAATAATTGGTATATGAGAACTGGCCAAGTTGGAACTTAGGCTACAGTATATTATCCTAAGTTATAAGAAGAAATGATATTTTATATTGTTATAAATACATTTCAGGACAGACCATTGAACTTGGCACCCATTTAGATCTCATCTCTTTTGTCGTAGAAGTCAACAATCAAGGCATATATCATAATATTAAACTCGGCTATCATTTCACATTTATGTTTTTGATGGGATTAATTTATAACTGGCTATACCCACGACTTCGTCCGTAAAACAGTGATCTTGATCAAATATTAAAAAATATTTTATAATCTAACCCAATAAAAGCCAAAGTCCAAGCTTGAAATATGACGAATTTCCATAAAACTTACATCATTTTCCATTTTATTTTACCCCTTTAAGGGTAAAATTTTTACAAACTTTGAATTTCATATTTATTTATATTTGATCAACAAATATGTAAGTTTCAAGCTAGCTAGGTTTAAAACTGTCGATTTTTCCGTATAAATTTTCAACTCCCCTTTCAAACCCTTACAATCCTTTTTTCACATTAAAAAGTAGCCTACGTCGTTTCTCAGGGTCTACACTATCTGTGTACCAAATTTCATTTAAATAGGTTCGGTAGTTTTGGCGTGAGATATAGACGTGAGAGATAGATTGAAATCATTACTGAGTTGCTCCCGCGTGTATATGTTATATAATCAATCTTACGCGAAAGTTTGTATGATGGATAATCTTATCCATCATACAAACTTTCGCGTCTTACATCTGGATGGATGGACAAAAATTTTATTTTCCCATACAAACTGTTCGTACCTGTCAAACGGTGTTCGTTCAGAAATTTTCAACGTAACTAAAGTTCAAAAAACCCATGTCATATTATTTAATTCTGTTTAATTAATATGTATAATTTTAAATTAACTTTTATCTACATCAAAATTACTGAAGTACGTAAGTACTAGTGGTACTTAGTATACTTGATAAAAGTTAATCAATTCCACGAATCATAAATCGTAATCATATTTATATGTATATCTTATAGGTACACACTTTTATTGATTACTATATTAAATTGTATTAATTACAGATGCCAATGTTGTGGAATTTTATTTGCAGATATCAGTTTGTTAATCTTATTAATTAATATTATAAACGCGAAAGTTTGTGAGTATAGATGTTTGTTAATCTTTCACGCAAAAACTACTAAACGGATTATGTTGAAACTTTATAATAATATAACTTATGCATCAGATTATGTTTTTACAGCTATATACCTGTATAGCTTATACATCAGAATACATTTTACAGACATAGTCTAAATTTTTTATTGAAATTTAATGTAGGTGAATCCGCGGGCACAGCTAGTAATAATAATAACTGCCATTGAATACCTGTAGAACTGTCCGCAAATTATGAAATGGTAATAGATGAAAATAAAACAACACCTATCATATAAATGAAAAGGACTACAATAAGTACATAACCACTGTTTTGGCAGATTAGTGGTATACTTTTTATTTTATTTATTTATTTAATTCAGGCTACATGGCTCATATTATAAATACCTTATAGACTAACATACATAAGAAATAATAATAAAATATGTAAATAAAATTGTCTCTATGGTCACGGCACTGACGACGGCAATCTGCCACGGTAGCGCCGATAGACCACCCCCGTCGGCCAGTAGTCCTCCTTCATGAAGGTGGGCAGCATGTTGGTGGGGACCCGGGCCACGAACGCTTTGAAGCTCGCGTTGTGACTCGATTCCAGCTGCGTCACCTTCAATGTCAGGTTACTTTTAGACCGGATGTAGTCAACAATGTCCTGTTCCTTATATGGTATACGCCACAAAACGTAAAATATCAGATAAAGTTGAAAAAAGTAAAGCGATCAAAAATAATATTTAGCATTACTTGCACTAAAAACAACTAGGTTGTTAGTTGTTGAACAGAAGCACGTCGTTACTCTGAATACTTGCAAGTAATTAACAAAACGTAGCAATATCGCTAAGCGATCTCTTGTATTGCTTGTATTAAGATTTGATAAAATACTTATGAAATAAACAAACAATGCAAAAGGGAAAAATATATACTACTAAATTCTCGGCATTGCTATTGTATATAATTTTTTACAATTAAATCTATGAAATATTTTGCGGTTAGTTTTTTGTAGTTGGCTTTAGCTTGGTATAGATATTCTAGAGTTACATTTAACCGAAAATATTGGGGGCGAGCCATCAGTGGCCTCATGTATCAATTTGGTTTATTACATATTCTATATTTTTTAAACAATTCCGACCCGACTTAGAAGTTACCATAGCAAATCATTTGGTACCAATTCGCTCAAATAATACTTATTGCAAGTGAAATAAATAAATAATCTAAAGTTTTCTAGATAAATATCAACAGTATACATAATTATACTTTTAGTAACTGTTTAGACAATGTCAAATTTTAGCTCGATTAAGTAAGTGGTCATGTTCTATTGTTTATTATGATCTCTGTGATAAGATAAGTATGGATATATTACAGAGCAAGCGATGTTTGCCGTTTTCTATTTCAAATGCATTTCCAACGTCTAATTACCGCTTATGTGCTTTACATATATTTGTATTTAACATGTATTCTAGAAGCTAAGAAATCTGAAACAGTGTTGTGTCCGATTGGATTTAAAATAACCTACAATGAAAACAGTGGACACTATGTATGCTACAAACGAAAATTGGAAACATTCGCAAATATATTTAAAAATTGTGACGGGAATTTGTATTCGTCGAAACTGTATCGCAGTCTAAATATTGATGAAACTGAAATAGATGACGATGAGCCTGATGGATTGGATGAGGTGTGGGCTGAATACAAATCATTATATCCAGGAGGACCATTTATTAGTACAGCACTTAATAAATATGAAGATACAATAATCGATAATGTAACATATTATCCAGATTTAGATATATATCAAGAAACATGTCTAATTGTAAATAAACTTGGACTATTTACAGCAGTAGGATGCGATGAAAAGCATTATAGATATTGTATAGTGAAGCCATATGACGTAAAAGAAGAAACAAATCAAACAGGCTGCGATCAGGATTACCAGCTGTATCAAAGATTCAATAGTCCTATAGAATTATGTGTATTTGATGTAACAAATGAAAAAGAAGAACATATAGAAGCAACGTGGAAACAGTCGCAAAAACTTTGTGCTAAATATGGTGGAGCATTGCTATCTAGAGGATGGCAGTATTCTAACTTTCATCTGTTCAATAAAACAAATGCAAGCACACCGATATATCCATTGGGTATGATTTGGAATCGTGAAAGGAAAAAACATAAACATGTAGCTGATGACAATTTCGAAGAAGTGCGTTTGCTTTTTAAATTTATTTCATTTTGTAATAAAAAACTGATTATTTTTTTAACTCACACTAAGTACAAATTGTTTCAGAAACCTGATCTAGTTCCGGTGTTGAATAATAACGATATTGTATTTATGGCGATTCAAAATGAAACTTGGAAACTTATCAATAGTTCTTTCATTTTTAATAATATAATTTGTGAACGTCCAATACAGCAAAGAAATATATTAATGGAACTCATCAATCACACGTAAGTAGATTAACTGATTTTAAAACAATATATTATCAAGTAAAAACGTAACGTGACGATTCTACAATATTTTAATATTTCCTAAAAGCAGACTGCCTTTTGTTTTTTTATAGCTATATTACATTACTACAGATTATCTGATTTAGGCAGGCGTTTGGATTAAATAGTATTATTATTATAATAAATAGAATATAAGAAAATAATAAATAAAAAATGTATTTTTTTAATGGATGATAATGGAGTGGTGGTCCGCCTGCACTAACGGTTTATGCTGGCGGGGCACCAGTGAACGATAAGATAAACATCATGTCAGTTAGCTCATCATCAACAATTGACCAATATATCACGTTGGTTTTCTGTTAGAACTAGCATGGTACATTGTTAGCAATGAGTCATCTGTTCAGATTACTAACAATCATGTCATGTCAGTCATGGATCAAGTGGCAAAGGGGTAGCCCCTTGATCCATGACATCTTCTTAACGCCAACTACTTAATGATTAGAGTATACTGGTTTCACTGTATCATATGTTGGTTTGAATATATTATTTACTAGCTGTACACACGACATCGTCCGCGTGGAATTTAACTTTATTTTTCTAAAATAAAAGTAGCCTAAGTTGCTCCTTAATACATCAGCTACCTGCCAAAATCCCCTAAAATCTGTCCAGCCTTTTCAGAGATTAGCCAGAACAAACAGACCGACAAAAATTATAAAAAGTAGTTTTTTGGTGTGTATGTACCGTATTTATATTCATATGCATGTAGTAAAAAACGGTTATTTCGATGTTACAAATAGACACTCCAATTTTATTTATATGTATAGATTTACTACCACCTTTCGTTAGTTGGCGTTAAGATGATGTGACGTAAATATGACACTTGAAATATTAAACATAAATATTTTTCGCATTGCTATTCTTAAGGATTCTAGGTACTCTACTGATTTCACTATCAGGTAACCATTTATCTGAGCTTTTGATGGCTTTAATAATAATATAACAGACGTTGGTAAGATAGAGGTAACCACGTAGATGACAGATCAAAGTCTCCCTCTGGTAACTCGGTTGTAAACGATGATGGTAATACATTTTTATTTGTTTAATTTGAAAGATTGAAAACCAAAGAAAGTTCAATTAACATATTTATTTAATTCTAATTACAATTAAGACTCTCGATTGATTCGACTTATAACTATATTAACCTATTCGGATGCGCGACTAAATCTAGAGAGTCCATCCATTTGTATTCTCGTACCTCTTGCATGCCGTTCTTTTAAGTCATTTACTCTTGGAAAGTATGGGATACTTTTCTTCCTTTTCAAGAACAATAGCTGTAACCATGCCGATTGTGTCACTACTAGTGGGTAGTTGTATGGATTTAGGGGTTTGTACCCGTAACATCTTAATGTTTTGTAGTTTATGTTTAGTTATATGTTTGTCATCCAGTAATAAAGTATAATTCTGTAACAAAACTTAAAAAGTATCTGACATAATCTCAAATTTTATCTATTTACAGTAAAATATATAGGGACTGGTCTGTTCTAATCACTACGACTGATTTCCTCTTATTTAGTTGTTTAACCAGTTGGTTGTATATTTAATATTTTTTCTATTTGAGTATTTAATTGAATTAGTGCTAATTGGTATTCACACACTTCAACTTAAAACAAATGTAAAGTAACAATAAAACTATTTAAAAGAGCAACACGCAAGTTTCTTACTCGTTCTTCTTGTGATGAAACAGCTTTCCGAATCAACGGTAGATTGAAAAAAATGTGGTGACTGTTCAAAAGTGCTTCAATGTAAGTTTATTTGAATAAATGATTTTCTATTCTTATTCTATTCTAATACTTTCTCACTAGCATATGTGGTTAGGTAAGCCCGCCTAGGTATAAATTGAAATCAGTGCTAGGCGCCCATCAATCCAGCAATAGCTGAGTTTATATCTATTGCCAGTCATTTTATAAAAAACTTTTTATAACTATGTCACTGTACTATTGTTGGTAGTAATAGATTTATTATTATTATTTTATTTTTAGAAACCAAATATTGTTAGCTGTTAACAATATGGATGACGTAAGAAATATCTACTGTTACACCGACTCTGAAACTTACTACCCAACTAAAGTAAATATTCTTAAAGATATTAATAATAGTAGTAATTCAAATATATATTATAGACTATTATTAGTAAACAATGGTTATTATTGGTGCATTCACATCGATCCCGATAACTTCCACGTCACTGAAACACAGAAAACTCTCTTCCTTGGTGACAAGAAATTATTAGCGAAACAATATGCAATTAAAATTAAACTCTATAACGAATATTCACTTAAAGATATTGAGGAAATTAAAACTATTTGGCAAGAAAAGTTCAAAAGGTCCATTTCATTTAGAAGAAGAAATGTTAACAAGAACGGAGTTGAGAGTATTAAGAATACAAACTTGAGTAAACATCTTGAAACAGATAACTTAAATTTGGATGACACTAGTACTATTTCAAATATTAAACTCAAAAGGATCTATATAGACAAACGAACAGTTCTATTCCATGTACAAATTAGTGAAGATATGATACCATTTGATATAGCTAAGACAGAAGATGCTGAAGTGCTGTCTGTGAAACCAGTTTACTATTGCGATGGACTTGATGTAGTAACACCGTTGTCTACGAAATTGGAAATGGAAATTGGAGATAATTTTACATCTTTAATCAGATGTAATACATATAAATGCGTAGGGAATTTCAATGAAGGTGTATCATTAGTAAAGGAAGGAAATGCCTCTGACTGTGTTAAGAGTAGCTCTCTTATATACGAACTTGGGAATGTTGAGCAATTTATAGCGAAAAAACAGAATCGTACAAAAACTAATGCAATTGGAACTAGATCATCTGCCTTGACAGTGAGTATGGCATATTGTATTTGTGTCTATGTATATAAATAAGTAAAATTGAAGTATATGAATATATATATGTATTTATAATTTAAAATAACAGCATTTCACTAAATATGAAACTATGTATGGTACGTACATGTAAAAATTAAAATTGTTTTTGTCTGTTTCTTTGTTCTTGCTTATCTATGACGACTGAACTGATTTTGATGAGACTTTCACTGGCAGATAGTTAATATTATACAGAGTAACTTAGGCAACTTTTATTTTAGATTTTTTAATTTCATAAAAAATGTAAATTTCACGTAGATCAAGTCGCGGGTAACAGCTAGTTATCAACAAAAAAATTGTTTAATTTAATTTATGTTAATTAGTATAGAAGCTGTGTATTTTATTCCATATAATGTAGTCTTTTTTACTACGATTTTCGAAAATAAGCATACGGCTCATATGCTTATTTGCCTGCATGGTAAACGGTTACCTATGGACCCCTGAGAAATACCAGAGGTGCGCGTACATTATACATCTATCTTCCAAGATATCTGCGACCTCGTCTGCTTTCTAGAAATAACACATGTCCATCCTCTTTATTTCCGTTCTTGCAACATCCAATTTTATTACATCCGTTCAACTAGACAATTGTTAAAATATAACAAATAGATGGATTGACAGTCAAAATTTCGCACCTTAATAAGGTATGAATAAAAATCTTAAAGTAAGTAAAAGATTGTTTTAAATAAAGAAAGAGTTACACTTTTATTTTAGTTAATGTTTTCAGTCATAAATCTTATATATTAAATTCTCGTGTCACAGTTTTCGTTCCCATACTCCTACGAAACGGCTTGACCGATTCTCATGCATTTTGCGAGCGTATTGAGTAGGTCTGAGAATCGGCCAACATCTATTTTTCAGCCCCTTAAATGTTAGGGGTAGTCCACCCCTAATTTTTTTTTTATTTTAAGGCAAAACATCGTTTGCCGGGTCAGCTAGTTAATATATATATTTATTATGAATGATGCATGTTTCAGCCTGAAGATGAGATTGATCAAGTGTTACATGATTTGGATGTGCTGCTACAAGATGATGGTTTATGTTTAGCAGTAATGGAAAATCAAATAGATAGCACATTTGACCGGGTATGTATCTAATAAATTAGATAATTTGTTTGTTATAATTAACTAAGATTCTAATATGAATTATACATATAAATTTCTTAACTTACAGGTGAATAATTTATTACAAATCGAAGGGGATTTTAATATTCCGAGTCAGTTACTCCACAAGTTAGATAATTTTAGTTTAAGGCTTAATTTGAATGGTAATAAGACTGGCGAAATAGTTCGAAACAGTATTGCAGTACTGATAGCAGATGCTGGACCTGACAATCCTATCAGGGGAATAAAAGTCGCCGTCAGAAATTCAAGCATGGATTTCTTTACATCTGACTCATTTCAGTTCCTAGTTGGTAAGTTCGTTTAACAATAATAATAAAGACAGAACAGGAAGTGCCATCTAGTCAAGCAGGGCTTGTGTTATGGGTACTAGACTACTGATATAAATACTTAGATATATATTTTTTGTAAATGCTTACATAATATACATAGACAGGGGTGTATGAACTGTCACTAATGAGGATAGTAGTCCCATTATTAGCAATGTCTTTTATGATAAATTCCTCATACCATCATGTCCAACTAATATATTGAAATTGTGATACTACGGTCTCGTCCTTTCTTAGGCGCATACAAGTTCTGCTCTTCAACACTATGGCTGTGTACTAGACATGTAACAAGTAAGTTTTAATACAGAAAAAAATATATATTAACTTACAGGTGAAATGAACTCCACACAGCTATTCACAAACAATACTGACACCGTCGTATATTTACCCAAGTCAGTAACCAATTCACTGCACCGTATAGGATTTCTAGTATTCCTGAACGAACGCGCCTTCTATACTACAAATACTGATAATACAGTTAATAGCAACATAATCAGTGTTAATGTTGAGAATATCACGGCTTTTGAGAATGAAGAGGTGAGTTTTAAATACTATTATTTAAACATTGAAGAAAAAGATTCAATACAATATGAAGGCAGCGTAACATAAATACAGAATGACGCCGAAATTGACCTGGCATTATCAGTTTACAATGATATAGACATACGTAATTTCTTTGCCTTTCTTATTAGGGATAAGACAATGCATCTAAAATAGAGAAATTAATATTACTTCTTCACTTGACACTTTCAATATAGTTTTTGAATGAGATCATTAAAATAAAAATCTTTTCTAGCAAATATAACAATAAAATAGTTATTGTAAATTTTTAGGTGATAGATATTTATCTACGCCCGTTGGTGAAAGATCCAGGCAACAGCATGAGTCGCAAGTGCAGCTACTGGCAGTTCGCAGAAAATAACACTGGATACTGGTCAACAAAGGGCTGCACTTATGTGAAGTTAACCGACCCACATACTATCGACACTTGCCGATGTAACCACCTGACGCATTTCGCGGAAGTGCTTGTTACATATAACCTAAAGTCGAACCACGATTCGGTACTCGAAATTATATCTATAGTAGGATGTTCATTATCTATATTTGGTACCCTTTCTATTATATTAACGGCTACAATGTTTCGAGTATGGCGAAAAGAATATAGCAACATAATTTGGCTTCAACTTTGTGTAGCTATATTTCTTTTGAAGTTGTGTTTTATACCCATAGCTGTTATAGATTTTAAAGGTCATCTCATTTCATGCTTAATAGTAGGAATAACGTTGCATTACGCTTTATTAGCTACTTTCTGTTGGATGTTAGTAGCAGCTATAGTGTCCTATAGAAGACTAGTTTTAGTTTTTGCCAAAGATCTCTCACATAAATGTTTGAAGGCATCGGCTTTTGCATGGGGATTTCCTTTTGTAATAGTGGGCATTCTTGTATCTGTCAATTGGCGAAATTACACGGTGTATATGGAAGATGTAACTTTGAAGAGGAAGTTCTGCTATCCTTCAGAATATGGATTATGGTTTGGGCTGTATTTACCTGTTGCCGCTATGTTACTTGCAAACTGGATTTTATTCTTTTTAATAATACAATCTGTATTCCTTTGTAAGAAGGTGCAGAGGTTCGGAAGTTCAAATGAGGCCTTAAGGTTCGCTTTTGTCAGTTGTTTGCTTGTTTTTCTATTCGGCTTGCCGTGGGTTTTCGGTTTCTTCGCTTACAATATAGTGGCCGCTTACTTTTTTGTCATCACTGCTACTTTTGAGGGGTTCATGCTGTTTATTTTTATAGTTTTAGCCAACAGACAAACCAGAGATCTTTGGTTAAACAAGTTAAATATAAAACAGAATCAAAAGATGCTTCTCATGTCCCCTAACAATAACTGTGGAGTTATGAAACAGAAACAAGATTTATTTTGTTCCTCTGCAGCAAATATATGTGCTAGGAAAGTATTTAATATAGATTTACCAGAAATATAATGTATAAGGATTGCAGATTCTTAGAATTTAATTGTATTGTCAGAAAGAATAATAACATTATTATGGAATAAATAAAATAATAAATATGTTTTGCTTTTATTTATTGCAGCACTGTTCTATAATCACAGTTTCCAGAATAAGATAAAACTTAACTAAATTTAACTCATTATCATAAAATAAAAATAAGCAGCTGAGTGACGCATCTGATATTGATTATCAACATTAATAGAAGCTGAATCGCTTTCATTACATATTTAATATAAGGACGATAGATGGAGCCACCATGCGGCTTAAAATCCACTCGTAATCACTTCAATATTATATTAGCTGTGCTTCATTCAATAGATGGTGTCATTATCACTCCTTTTTAATAACTTATGTTTATTATTTAAAATTACTGTATATAGTAAAAATTGAATGAAATATTAACAATAATTATTAATTAAGTCATTGTATGTGAATTGTAAATAATTTTATCTATGTCAAAAGCAAATGTCGGATGTTACGTATCGTCCGCAATTTGCTTGCGGGTTACCCTCATAATAATTGAAACTTTGATAAATTCTAGTAATCATTTAAAAAATAATGTGATTATCTTGATTTAAGTTTAAATACCAAAAAGTTATTTTTAATATCTAATAACTTAACGTTCAATTATTTTGCATTTGAGTTCTTAACAAAAAACATGTGAAACTTCTGGACGATTCAGTTAATTGTGTAAGTCAAATTTATTAATATCACAAGTTTGTGGTTTGGTCTAATTGCTAATAATATTACAGTAGTTTAAGTACTTACACCGATTTTAGTTATTATTTAATTATAAGCCTTTAGGCAAAATTGTATTTTACTTAAGGTCCTGTTGACTATTGACACCTTCCGACTTGAACGCGCGATCAAGTCGGACTGTGCTGGCTTGCATTCCTTATTCCCAAGTATCAGAATATTAAACAAGCGGTGCCATCTATGCGCCAATACAAGAAACTTTTTATCCCTCATCGACTCACAGTGACTTTGGAGCAAATTCAAAAGACTAGATATTAAAACCGAGATTACATTATACCGTCTTCCCCTTGGTCGTGAAGAAAAAATATACAATTTTTATATATATATTTGTTACATAAAGGAGAAAATATACAATTTTTAATGACTTAGAATTAAGTTAGTTTTTTACAATAATAAGGTTATAATAATATTTTAGAATCTAATAGAACTAATAGAATAGTTGAAATTAAATTTTAAACATAGAGAATATAACTGGATGTCCTTCATACAGGCCATTATAATGACCTAGTAAGGACATTCATTCATTCATTCATCATTCAAGAGCGACGTATTTGTCTTTGGACCTCTTGCCACTATCCACGATCTTCCACCTAGGGGCGTAGCTACTGCCGTATCTGCCGTATCTATATATGGAGCCCCTGGGACACGGGGACCCCAACGTGCGTGAGCAAAACTTACTCGTAACTTCTCAATTTTTTTTATGTCACAAATGACAAAAGTAAAAATAACCAATTTCTTTTTTTCCCGCATCAGCTATATGGTAAATGATTTAATTAATCAGTTTGCCGAAAAAAAGCAAGGATGTATATTTAATTTGAATTGTTTGTAAAAATTTTGGAAAAAATAAAGTCAGATAGATAATTGAGATTAATAAATATTTCTTTTAATTTTATGCGATTTTATTATCTTTTATGGGAAATCTTTATCCTTCGTTAGGATCCCTAAACAAATTTTTAAACGGAGCCCCGCTAAGTCACCCTAAGCTTCTGCTTCCATCATACTCTGTAAACCTTGATACAACACGACTCCAAATCTGTCTTTCATTTGCTTCATGTAGCTGTGCGTTGGTCTTCCACTCCCTCTCTTTCTTTCTATCTCCCTCGATAATAACTTTCATAAATTCATCGTGCCGTATCAAGTGTCCTAACATTTGCCTCGTCTATTTTGTATAGTATTCATTATCTGAAGGACACCAGTGAGATAATGTAATATTGAGACTTTTATAAACTAAAAAAATTGTAATACCACATCTTTATATATAAAAATTACGTATCACGTTGTTTATCCGCGATGGACTTCTAAAGTACTGAACCGATTGAAAATTTGATTTGCACATTTTGTGCAATTTGATCCAGCTTGAAAGATAGGGTAGCTTATATTTCAATTTATAGTCGCAATATTGCTTTTTTCAAGAACCTTAGCCACAGCGTAGCCGGGTCGGTTAAAATAGCGGTCGGTAAAACTAGTTAAAATATAAAAGTTAGTGTTCCCATTATTTCAACTGTAAAGTATAATGTACTATTTTGTTTAGATGCAATACATTTGATTTGATTTGATAATAACAGAAAAACAAGAACGAGTATTGATGCCCATCAAGTGAAATCTATACTAGATGAAATTTAATGAATATATTAATAACTTTAATAAGTTTCAAAAATTATTTTCCTCAATTGATTATATTGTTTCTATTTTAATATATATCTGCGGTTTGGGGTCATATAATTAGAGTTGTATCAGTGATTTTATGACTCAAAAAAATTATAATAATTTTCTATTAGTGATTTATGTTTAAAAAATAAGCAATGGTTGAAAACCAGAATTAGATAGTAGTTATATGAAAAGGATATGTCACGACGTGACATAGAAATCATTAAAGATACACTGTACGAAATGAAGTTCTCACGAACTAAAGACGTAACCGATAATAATGAAATTTAGCAGGTCCCTAGCGTTTAGACCGGTAAAAGTAAAAATTGTGTCTGTAGTGCTGTATAGTACATGTATATAGGCTACGGTTGCCGCTTATCATCAGGTCCCCCATCCAGTTCAAACTGGCATCAAAATTGTGACGGCCTGAGCCGAGGTACGAGCTTCTAGCGGTGCTCTTAGACTTAAGTTGTATCTGTCAGGAGGGCGTTGGCCTTTGTTTGGTTGGTTTGGAGTGCCATCTACACTCGCTCGCTATCGTCCGGTGAAGCTGTAAAGGCCAGCTGCGGCCAATAGTATTAGAAAATTCCAAAAAAAAATACCGTCAGGTACATCAAAATAAAATGCTGATAAACTGATGGGGTTATAAAATGATTTTTATTGAAGGCAGCGATGCGTCGTCCAACCCTGAATAGCTCGGATGAAACGGCAGGTTTTATTTTCTCCAAGGACATGTTGTTCATGTATATCGGTAAAATTGTTAACATTATATGTAGTTTTATTCTTCAAAAATATTAATAACAGGTTCTTACGTTTTTGTCCAAGAACGGGGTCACCAGTTATAGGCTGTACCAGGGTAATATTTATGTACTAGCTCTAATTTGACTTTATTTTTTTTAAATAAAAACATTTAAGTTACTCCTTATTACATCAGCTACCTGCCAATAAAAATCCCGTCAAAATCGGTCCAGCCATTTCAGAGATTAGCCGGAAAAACAGAAGACAGACAAAAATTGTAAAAAATATAATTTGATGTATATACCGTATTTACATTCATATGTATATAATAAAAAATGGTTATTTCAATATTACAAACAGACACTCCGATTTTATTTATATGTATAAATTTATTAAAACAAATTTATTCTTTATTTATTTGAATAAAGAATATTCAAATAACGTAC